ATTGCCTACAAATGTCCATACACCACGTGTGGTAATGCCTCTTGTGTTTCAGTGTATAACCAATTATAGACATTTCTTTCTATTATGTTATTAGATCTTGGTTTATCTAACTTTCGACTGCAGCTACAAATTTTCCAACAGCATCATGATAATTCCAATTTGTCATAACTTCCGGTTAACACGCTACATTTGGCTTCAATTTAAGATATATTATATTTATTCATTGAAATTAATTCTTGTTTTAGCAACAAAACTAATTAAGTGTATTAAAACTACATTAACTAAGTGGAAAATTAATGACTTAGTATTTCATTATTAAGGTTAAGATTTATCTTACGATGCATTTCATAATTGTTTTCTTTAAAATTATCTCAGTTTCAAATTCTGATTTAGTTATATGTATATAATATGTAATTATATGTTACATCATCTGATAATGTTGATATACGTCCCTGCAGAAAATACTTGTCATGAGTTAAATTATGATATATTTTCTTATAAAACCCTGTTCCTGGGATTAGGTTTCCATGTTACAATATATAATTATTGCCCGAATGTTGTGCACTCGGCGTGGTCAACGTCGAAACACGCACATGATTGGCTGTATTCCAGCAGTGAGAGGAAACAGGGTTTTTAGCATCTGTATTAATTCGACGGAATGATTTTCATATCATTATAGAGAAAATTACGAACAGAAATTAGATACTAATTTTATTCACTAGATTTAGTTTAAACTGTATTTTATTTTGTGAAATGAGTACAGCACAAAAGCAAATATGCATTTTGGATTCAGAAACAAGTACAATGTACTTATATTAATCTGTCTCCGTATCTAATTACATGAGCAATGGACAGCACTGACAACATAATGTAATTAAGTAGGTGCATAAGTACAGGGAAGGGGAAAAGAAAGGGTGCATGGGTTCAAAGGAGGAAACCGTTGTAGGATGACGAAGCAAGAGTTTAGGACTGCTATAGATCTATATTTGATTGTGGTTCACTCAACAAAGTACAATATACCACGACCAGGTCAGTACTGTAATTGAGATTACTTCGTAGTATACACAAACTCACTAGATACGCTAGAGCTTAATTAAAACGTTTAGAACGGTTAATAAAGTTTTGGACACAGTCAAAAATATTTTCATTGTACTGATCTGGCATATCAGGGTTACCATATAATAAGGTATTAACATTAATGTCGGGGGGTATGTTACTGAAGCATTGCATTCTGATATGATGGTAGTTAGGGCACTGGAGGAGGAAGTGTTCAGTAGTTTCGTCGGACTGGTTACATGAACATAGAGAGTTGTTAACAAGATTACGAGAATATAAGTGTGCGTTTAGTGAGCTACAGTGCATCCTAAGTCGAGCATGGTGAATCTGGCCGTGTCTAGATTTACAGAAGTAATAATAGTTAGGAACAGTTGTTATATCAGCATTTAGGTATCTTTTTAGAGTAGTAGTAGACGGATTACGTTTTATGGCATCGGGGAGTGCATTCCATAGATCAACAGAAGAAGGTAGGAAAGAGTCTTTAAAGAGATTAGTTCGGCATGGAGGTTGGTAAAAAGAATCGGCTCTCCTTGTATTATAAGAGTGGATGTTAGAGTGACGTTCAGGAAGCATGCTGGTTAGGTAGGAAGGGCACTGACCATGAACAATCTGATGAAATTTGATAATTTTATGTTTTTTCCTTCTATTAACGAGAGTATCTAAGCCGGATTCTAAATATAAGAGGTCATGACTGGTGAGTTTTGTAGCTCCAGTCATGATTCTAGCTGCCTCAAGCTGGATGTTTTCTAGAAGTTTACTTTGGCCTAATGTTATATTGTCCCAGATAATATCTCCATATTCTAATAAAGGTCTAATATAAGAACAGTACAAAGTTTGAAGAGATTTTCTGTCAATGCTAAATTTGAGTGACCTGAGGAAACTGAGTTTTGTATAGGCTTTACTAGTGATTTGTTGTAAATGTTCAGTCCAATTTGCGTTAGCTGATAGAGTGATACCTAGATGTTTGTGACAAGTGATTAGTTAGTGCAGTATTATTCATAAATAAGGAGGGTTGAAGCGGTTTATTAGCTTTTTTACTTACTGTCATTGTTACGGTTTTAGAGGGGTTAAAATTAACAAGCCAAGTGTTAGACCATTCATTGATTATACTAAGGTTATTATTTAAGTTAGCGCTCGTTTGCGGTGATTCTACGATGACATATAGAGATGTATCGTCAGCAAACAACTTAATATTGCAATTTATATTACAAACAATGTCGTTAATAAAGATTAAGAAAAGTAACGGACCTAGGATCGATCCTTGGGGGACACCTGCTGAAATATTGGTTAAATGGGATTGTCTACCATTGATTACGACACATTGACAACGATTATGCAAATAATTCGAGAACCAAGTAAAGAGATTTCCAGTTATACCAAAAGATTTTAATTTGGATAGAAGACCTCGGTGCCAGACCCGGTCAAATGCTTTGCTTATGTCACAGAATACCAATCTTATTTCAACACCTTTGTCAAGATAGGAAAAAATGTCATGAGTAATAGTTAAAAGTTGATTAATAGTGGAATCGCCAGATCTAAAGCCGGATTGGTAGGGTGTTAGAAGAGATTTATCTATGAGAAAGTTATAGACATGTTTATAGACGCATCTTTCCATCAGCTTGCCAACAATAGACAGCAGAGAAATCGGACGATAGTTACTAATAATTGAGGGGTCTTCTTTTTTGAAAACTGGCGTAACATGGGCCTTTTTCCACGAAAATGGAAAGGTACAAGAAACAAGAGAGCTATTAAATAATAATTGTAACGGGTAACTTAGGATGTCAGCGGCTTCCTTGATCATTCGAGGATTAATCATGTCGGGTCCAGCCGCCTTTCTAGTGTTAAGAGAGTGTATCGCGTCACTAGATTTGATAAGCTAACTCTCATTAATGTACTTATTTCCTGACTCAGTTAGTGTTTGAAGTCATCGTAAGATAAAATAAAATATAAACATTAAATTTAGAAGCTTTGGAATTATTAATGTTAATACATCATGCGGGATAAGTAACATGCTGTCTCTGTCTTGATATATTAATATAAATTGGCGGCTGGAAGAGAGGATGAATGTAGCTCGCAAAAGTCTTGTCTTCCATAACTCTGTACCGCATGTAAGAAGCACCTTTTAATCATAAAGACTTAAATACAGTAGAGCCAAACAATTAATAATCATACAGATGTTTCGTCTTCCTAGGGCTCGTTAATGATGCTAAGGGCCCGAATTTTGAAGCCTATAAGGCGACTGAGGATACAAAGTGATCGAAAGAAATGTCAAAATCTAGATGGAGAAGTGCAGCGGCCCCACAGTTGAATAAATTTCGTGATTATCATACATCAGATAACTTAAGAACATCGCCACTTACATGTGTATATTCTGAATCGAATGAATTAAAAATAACGTGACATGCAGGTTACGGCAAACCTCGGGGACTAAGAGCCCACCAGCCGTGTCTTCTACCTGCTCTATTGAAGATTGTACAAAAGACACGCAAGTGAATAGCGCTTTTTAATAATTTAGAGTTTGTTTTTAAAATGTTTACGCTTACATGTAAAGACTGCAGTCACAGTAAATTAAATACATATACCTCTACACAGGTTGACGGTGTGATTGTTTCCCTGAGGAATAGGTCACAACACCTTTACCTCAGCATCAATACATACAATTTGGCTTTCTTTTCTGCGTTTGCTTCACCAAAGTCTTAAAGTGCCACGATTAATTGAGTCCGTGGTTTCGTTAGTAACGAGATAATAAAGTGAACTAAAAGTCTCCATAGGCTGATAATATGTCACTTCAAATGTTAAGTCACTTGCAACAGTAATATATATATATATATATATAGAAAAATGAAATATATATGTATAGTCAACGAATATATTTTATCTGAAGGTTACTGATTCCTTACAGCGGATTTATATACATATATATATCTGAAGGTTATATATATATATACATCCGCTGTAAGGAATAAATAACCTTCAGATAAAATATATTCCTTGGCTTATGTCTGCTGCGTGCGTGCATGACACATGGTTTCGTATATCACACATACAAGGTTAAAGTTACCATCGGGATTCTAGAGATGTTTGCAAATATCAGAACAATGATTCGTTATTTGAAAATTCCCTGACACTTACTAATGACAAAAAAGGAACTTAAGACATTTTAAGGAAGAGAATTTACCAATATCTTGAACATAAGGCGATGTCAGGAAATACCAATACATCATATGGAAGGTTATTTCATGTATGTTTACAGTTGTCGAATACACCGTAACATATACACGTTGTATAGGAAATAGTTTGAAACAGAGATGAATCCTTCATATATTTGATATCATATTGTTGACATTCTTAAGTAAACCTCCATCACAAAATAAGAGTTTTGCATGATTTACTATCGCATTCGAGTGATAGATCTGTTTTGTTTACTATTGTATTGCTTAGAAATCAATTATTAACACAAATAAGGATATTTCACTTCTAAACATGAAGTTATCGATAAAAATGGAAATGAAAGTTAAACTGGTAATCATTCGAATAATGGGCAGTTTACATGTGTATCTGACGTTCTCTTGAAATCATCAGATATATGAAAAATTACACATTTGAATGATAGAATTATGTGTCGTGTGCACCCCATCGTTTAAGTTTTGACAATCATGTCGATTTTGTTTTTCCTCTGTCACCTCCTAAGTTCCCTCGGTATCACTGAAGAGTTGATTTCATTAGTGGCTTCGACTGTATATACTTAATTCAAAATTTGCATTAAACGAAGCAATTTACTTGTGTGTGTCATAACAAATCTTTCTATACATTCTACATCAATCGTGTACTTGATATATACACAGATGCCAACTTATTACACTTCCGATACTTTGCCTGCCAATTTTTGGTCACGGTCGAGAAGAAACTTGCATAACAGAGCGCATGACTTGCATAGACGCTTGATGAATGCTGGTGGACGGCGCAGGCGCAAATCTGAAGACCAAACTGCCCGGATGATTGTAGAAAATGTGAACAATCTGGACATCGATGAAGGTAAACGCAAACCAAGTCATGTGAGCGAAACCCACCCTGATCTTGATTCTTAAGTTGATAATTCTTTTTTACCTGGTTGCATTTCCGGTTTGTTGATACCATATGTGATGGAAATATTAAACAGGCATTCGTCATCCGGGCAGTTCCCTAGATTGCATCCATTGTCGCAAAGTAATCAATGTTGTTAGTTTGCCGCCTTTTTCCCGATACATTAGAGAACTGTTTATGAATACTCTATGTTGAATACACATGATATAGGTATTTTCTGAGGCGAATACAATCAAGGTGTCTGGAGATCACGGCGAGGGGTCTTTGACCCCAACGCGAGTCTCTCTGAAGGTGTTTGTTAGATATAAGAGATCTCGTAATCCTAGACGAGTACATCAGTAGAAAGAGGTCTTGAACTCAAAGGCGAGTATAGGCATGGTATCTGGTATCTGTTAATCATAGAGAAAGACCTTTCTCCTTGTATACGCCAAATTATTTGTTAAACACAAAATATTTCGCAATTCGGATGAGTATATCAAAAGCGAGAGGTCGTGCACTGCGATGCGAGTACAAGCATGATATTTAGGTATCTTTTAGGAGAGGTATTCAACCCCAAGACCAGTCCAAGACAATTGTTTCAAGTAACTAGTGGTGTTTTATCCCTAGAGTATCCAAGGTATATGATTATGTCTGAAAACATAAGATAAATGTTGTCGCTATACGCTTTGACCTTATTACCTATTCCTGTAAAGATCACCTGTCATACTCTGTTGTGGTCTGCTGTGAGATGGTTTACAATCTTTTACAGACGATTACGATGACGGAGGGCATTTCGATATAGACAGCCACGTTGAGTCTGTTGATCTGCTTCCATTGGAAAATGCGCTTGCACATCGCACTGAAAAGTATGACGCACTGCGAGAAGGCCACCTTGTGGTTAGGAGGGGACAACCTTTCTATATCCTAGTGAGGTTTACTGGGAAATTCAGTGCCAAGAATCATTCCGTCAGAATTGTTTTTAAGACTGGTAAGTGTTTTGCTGCATGGAACTGATAAATACCACCACAGCTGAAGGTCACGAGATACCTTAAGGCCTTTTGTACTTTTCATCTGTAGGCGCAATTTATTTGTCTATAAACGCGCAAGGTTAAGTGTGGTGTCTAAAATAATTGTTGAACGAGTTAATTCTTGTGAAATGTCAGCAACATCTTACTCTGTATCCACAGGTCCGGCACCACGGCCTGGGAAAGGCAGCCATGTTCAATGTCTCCTCTCATCCAAGTCTAGCCAACAGGACTGGACAGCGGTCATCGCCAGTAGACAGGGACCAAATGCTCTTAAGGTGTCCATTTGCCCTCCTGCGAATTGCATTGTGGCGTCCTGGCGGATTGTTCTAGAGAGCATCGTGGAGAGAAATGGTCGTCCGAAGGCGTACAAATACATTCACCCAAAACATATACACATCCTGTTCAATCCCTGGTGTAAAGGTAGGGATATCAATATGTAGATTTAAATCTAACATGAAAAAGTGACTGGTATATTTTGTCATTCAATTTCAAGAAACAAATAGCAGACTAATTGGACTTCTGGGAAAATCCTGAATTTATCAGGTGCATCATAATAATATTTATAGTACAGTTAAGTCCTAATATACGTAAAACTTGGGAGTTAAAGATGTCTCCTTCCATTAAATATAGGTCTTATTGCATACATTTACCGTCGATAGATGATGCAGTGTACCTCGACAAACCTGATCTTCTGAATGAATATATTCTCAACGACAGTGGCGCCATTTTCCAGGGAAATTACAAGCAGATTGGCGCGAAACCATGGTTTTATGGACAGGTAATAACTCAACAGATGCCGATACCCACAACGTGAATTATGTATTTCGCCATATATCGCCGTAGAACATCTGCGTGGACTCTCACAGATTCTCATCCGCACTCTTATCCGCGGTATAATGCCAGCTGTAGCAAATGAGATGGGAAGTTTAATTTTTCAGTTCTGCGTTATCAAAATTATGTAACACATTGTACATATCAATTTGTTAGAAATAAGGACATATAAGGAAAGATAAACAGGCAAATAGTACCTTTTTAGGGGCCTAAAGTCGATGAGGCGACTGAGCAGAATTTAAGATTGTCGAAAGAAATGTCAAAATCTACATGAGGAGGTTGACTAACATAGTAATTCCATAAATTTCGTAATTTTCATAGATCTGAACATTTTTACGAGAACATCAAGTAAACGTGTTTATTCTCGACCTTGCCATTACTCTAATGCATTAAAAAGAATGTGGCATGCATGGTACAACAAACCTCGGAGACCAAAAGTCTGTCGGAAGTGTCTACCACCTACAATCCTGAAGATGGTTCGATAGAAAGAGTAGTTAAAAATATCTAGCGATATGCCAGTTTGCATTGGAAGGTATTATTATTTACAATGCATGGGTGTGTAAATACGTCTGAGAGAATAATTTATATAGCGTTTTATGCCAAGACCACACATACAGAAGAATTAATATATCTCAATACTGTAATATGAATCAAAATATTGCCAGTTTCAGGTAACATGGCCCAATGTTGTCCTGCTGAGTTTTCCTTAAAATGTCTCCAATTGTGCTCAAAGGAGCAATATCTATACGAATCAAACCAGACTTTATTTTGTTGGGTAAACGTATTTTTATTTTCTTCAGCAAACTTGATATTAGATATAACAAAGAATGTTTTATTCCTAGTTCGAAGACGGAATTTTGGAGGCTTCCCTGTATTGTATACAGAAAGGATTTAATTCTAATTTCTGTCAATCGATGGGAGACCCGGTGAGAACTTCACGGATTATATCCAAAATGGTAAGTTGGGAGACAATCTCACTTTTAGGCGGTTATTGTAAACTGTAATTATGTAGCATTTTTTCAAATGGTTGTCATGGCTTTGGTGTACATTATTTAAGAAGTGAACTCCACACAGATTTACATCCTAGTTTTGAAATGGCGTATATTACGAATGTTGCCCAAGAGATCTGATCTTGATGATCGATTATAGTTTATCTAACCAACAAGATAAAAAATCTTACAAGGTAATCAAAATTACTTCATCCCTCATTCACAGGTGAACTCATCCGACGACGGAGGGGTGTTAGTAGGCAACTGGAGCGAGGATTACACTGGCGGGAAATCCCCAATGTCCTGGAGCGGAAGTGTCGTCATTTTAAGGGAATATATGAAAACAAAACTCCCTGTCAAGTTTGGCCAGTGTTTCGTATTTTCTGGGATAGTAACAACAAGTTAGTTTTTGTAATTATTGTTTACATTATATAGATTATCTAGCTGTCTTCCCTTATCAATGTAAGCACCACTGAGGTAATGTCTTTTTCTTTCTGTTTGTCACTTAGTGGCTTACATTTGTACGTTGTCCGTCAATGCCTAATCGATCTTTGATCTGTACTTTATCGACATTTTATGTTTCCCTGTTAGAGTGTGAAGTCCTGCACAACTTTACATTCTCCTACTCTGTGTAAATTATATGATAGGAAGACGACACTTTCCGTCAACAACAGTGTGTTTGTCATGTTTACAAAACATATTTTCCTGTCCAATATTTTTGAACCGTAGTGGTTAGAGTGATGTCCCTAATATTATGTTCAGTCTTATTTCTCACATTAGAAATTGTTATTTGGTTAGGTAGTGAAAGGAAATGTGTTGTCCTGTTTTGCAAACAAATACCATTTTTATATGGATTTCAATACTGTAACAAAAACAAGATATACAATTGCGATGTTTATTTCGCTAGTTTGCAGAGCTGTGGGCTTGCCTTGTCGAAGTGTTACTAATTTTGCATCTGCGCATGACACAGACGGAAGCGTGACAATAGACTTTTACTGGGATCTTGATCAAAAAGAAGTTTTAAGCGGAATTGGAGATTCGATATGGTAAGTCTTCATGTCTTACACATAATAGACTACATCCGGCAATATTCATATAGATCTTTGTATTCATATCGGAATAGATCAATTAAGATCATCTTCATATTGTGTTGTATTGTATTAGTTACCAAATGGATCAAAGTAAATAGTATCAGAAATCAAAATTGGTGATCGGGTGGCGCAGTGGTAACACACTCGTCTTTTACCTAGGCATCCGGGGTTCGATTCCACGCACGAAAGTGAAAAAGTCTAGGCTCACCTATCCAACCATGTTGGTTTCCCCCGGGTACTTTTGTCTCCTTCCACAGTATGACCTCTCACACTCTTCCATCCTGGCCAACAAGAGTAAGCTAAAGGCTTGTTTCGCCATTGTGGTAAAATCAATAAAAGGTCTTCATGCTGATGTATATGTCAGAAACCAAAGGATGTCTTCCTTCACTTCTAGTAAAGTTTAAAAATACAGAAGAGAATGTCGTGTGAGCATCAGTGAAATAGGATTTTTAACCGTGCGATGAACACTTTGATATGTTACACACAATGACAAACAGTGTTATAGGATTTTTGTCGCGAGATCAACAATTTGATATGTTACACACAATGACAAACAGTGTAATAGGATGTTTTGTCGTGTGATCAACACTTTGATATGTTACACACAATGACAAACAGTGTAATAGGATTTTTGTCGTGTGATCAACACTTTGATATGTTACACACAATGACAAACAGTGTAATAGGATTTTTGTCGTGTGATCAACACTTTGATATGTTACACACAATGACAAACAGTGTAATAGGATTTTTGTCGTGTGATCAACACTTTGATATGTTACACACAATGACAAACAGTGTAATAGGATTTTTGTCGTGTGATCAACACTTTGATATGTTACACACAATGACAAACAGTGTAATAGGATTTTTGTCGTGTGATCAACACTTTGATATGTTACACACAATGACAAACAGTGTAATAGGATTTTTGTCGTGTGATCAACACTTTGATATGTTACACACAATGACAAACAGTGTAATAGGATTTTTGTCGTGTGATCAACACTTTGATATGTTACACACAATGTCGTTTTACAGAAATGATGATCATATCAAACCTACGCGTAACTAGTGTCTGGTAGGGTAGATTTGTGAGTTTGATCAATTTTGTGGGTATGAAATTTTCATTTGTCACAACATTTTGTGGATTGGTGATGAATGGTGTCTTCAATAGTTGTACTATTAATCTTTATTATTATACTGGGATCTTCTTGAAATGAACATGTTCCCGTCGTGATAATAATATTCCAGCGAAATCCGTTATTGAATTAGTTAGCCGGAAACTGACGCAATGAAGTTGGCAAGTCACACTTCCTATGGAACAATTTTAAATACGAAAACTGAATATTTATAAAACAAACCACAAACATTTCACAAAAAAACAGCTCGTACTCCTGCTTCTTTCTAATCAACCTACAGCTCTTTCGCCTACTCTCGCACTTCTCATACTTCCTTTATCTGTTGGGTAATTTAATCATTTGATAATAAAGAACCGGATGTAGAGCAATACCAATCTAACAAGCCTTAAACCTAACAACATGACCAGTGTTTTGTAAAGTACTTGTTTCATAACGTCACTGAACTGACCTCCCCTCTGGTGTCACAAAATTGACCTTTCTACTGGTGTAGCTAGATTGACATTTCCTCCGGCGTTGGTGAATTGACTTTTATCGTTTTCAGCGATTCTCGGTACTCTGAACAAGTCAGTGCTACGTCAACATCCTTCACGAGATTGATGGTTTTATCTGCAACTGACATAGGTCTCAATATCAGATGAAAACACGAAAACCTTGAGACCAGCCTCAACTTCTTGTTAAGTTATAGAAGTTCCTTTATAAGGGTTGTACAACACTATGCTTTAGATATTCACGTTGCATTTCGGCAGGTCCATGCATGACATCAAACTAACTTATCTTATCCTTTATGTACTTTATTTTTCCCGTAATCTCCATACAATTAATTTTCAATTTACAGCTCGTTCTATCGATTTTGAGGTTGAATTACAATTTTTAACATATTTGCATTTTCTTTTTCATTTCGTTTCATGAGGAACAACGTGATGATTCAAGAGATCAGTAAATCTTGCTCTCTGTTCTAGTGTTTGAATTCCTTAGATATTTCTATCAACTAGATGAAGAACTGTAGCGATCTAATATTGCGTTACAACTATTTAGGTTAACTGAACTTCATTTGAGTATTGTCAGTATTCAGTTACACGAACAGTTAGTAAGATACCATTCGTATTGAGTGACGGTTAAGCCTAAGATTGCAGTATAACAGAAAGGGAAGGTAGGTCTGACTCGCTGGAGCTTTATAGTCTCATAATAATATCATTTCTGGTTTGTTTCAGCGTCTGTTTTCCTGTCAATATTATATATTTCTGTAAATAAAACACACTCCACAACTTTTACAATGGTTTATTGGAAAAATAGCGGTACATACCATTGGTTTATAACATCTTGTCAATTTGTATCTCAAACATTGTATAGAAACAACCGTGTGTAATCAAATGTGTGATGTTTCCATTACAATTTTTTCGATTGAATCTTTAGTGGTAGTTATCGCGCTGCCACCACAACAGGCGTACGCCTGGAGTACGGTCGCGACACCTATACCATAAACCAGCAGCTATGACTAACGTGCCGCGTGCGCGGGAAAACTAAATCCCCATTCATGCCAGAACTATCCTTAAAAGAAATATCCAATGTTGGATGTAATTCGCCAGTTAAAGCTATATATAGCGCATGCGTGTATTTTCTTTTACCAGGCGACCAATTTCCCTTGCCGTGCTGTTTGGGAATATATATTACACTTTGACCACAATTACATGGAGGTAGGCCTGACGCGCTGGAGCTTAATGGGCTCATAATGTTATCAGTTCTGGCTTATTTCAGCGATTGCTTTCCCGTCAACATCTCTCGTCTTCTTGCTTGTGTGGTACATAGATGTACCTATTCTACAGCAACTGTTAGTTGATAACTGCGTCATAAGTCCTATGGGAGTTACTGGAACGGCTAAACCAGCTAGCAGATATCAGAAATGATGACTGATTCCGTGAAAGATGAGGGTGACTCGTGAATGCTACAGTAAATTTATATAAACGCATTCTTATAAAAGCACGACGTCTTCACACACGCTTTTATATAAAAGTGTATAGTGAAGGAGTGTTTCCTGATCTTTTCGCCATTTCTATTGATGGAATTTATAAACTTCTTGTCTTTATAATCATGTCGAGATACTGCAACGCTCTATATATCAATACCAAGGAGTGACAAAAGCCTCATACAGGTGGTCTACTGATGAAGTATTTATCCATTTACAAGTTCATATCCCTCCACTGACACCAAAGTTATAGCTGGTCTCTCCAAAATATTAAATAGTCATCGGCAAATTCTCTTAGTGTTAACAGTGTTTGTCAAGTATTCAATGTGGTCATAAACATTGTCGCCTACAAAGTTCGAACTATATATATTGTATTTATCAATAAAACAGTAATGACTATACAATTCTTTCACAACAGGGTACTCTGGAATACATTTGTTTGTAAGCGGGGACACAACTGTCAAATATACCTCTTTAGAAGAGGGGTGTTGCTGTTATAACGACGACGAATGTGTCTATGGAGTTTATACTTTATATACTACAAAATTTGGAAGGTTGGGAATCTGAATTGTTACGGAAGGGAAAGGAAACTTTCTGTCTGATAATTTCCCCACATTTGTTTCGGTATAAGAAATTAATTTCGTTTTGTTATGACCGGATATGCCCTCACATTGCAGACATATAACAAAATGACAATTTGTGTTTATATTTTGAACTTGGTATTTACTTGGATTTTCCGTTCCTTCATCACATATTGTCAGATAATTACTGTGGTTTCATTCAATCTCGTAATCCGGTATAAAATTGTGCAAAAATATTTGAAAAAAATGCCGATGGATGGCGTTATACTAACTTTAAATAGCAACTACCAGTAAGGGTTCACAGATTTATAACATCACAAATTTTAATTACTAAAAAACAATTCGCTAATGGTTTAAATGCACTTTAAAAAGATAAACGACATGTGTGATATAATAGTAAATTGCTGAATAAATAGAACACACACAGTAATGGTAGCTGATTGGTTTCGCTTTGTATTGTTCTAATAACGCAGTTTTTACCGAATTGCTATGTCTGTGGTCTTTCCCGCAACATTTGATTAAATTGTTGTAATTTTTTCAGTAGTATGATAATGTTCATTTAACCAACAATAATACTCTTGTATGTTTCTTATTCCAACGTTTGAGAGCGTTTGTTACAAGTTATTGTATGAGCGATTTGGTGATGACATTTTAACACGTAATTAACACAGTTAATAAAAATATTAAACGCCCGATAACTTCTTGTGAAATCTCTTATGAAGGCTCTTTTAAATATGTGAAGGAAGATGAATATGCCCTGTTTTTCTTTGATGGGACACTCATTCTTTCCACTTCTGATTATCTGTTCATATCCAGCTCAGTTTATTTTAATTAACAGGTGGAAGTTATTGTATGCCAAATAGTATTTATTGTCCCTCCAGGTTATTGGAGACAGGACAAATCTCTTTATTTATTTATTATATTTGTAAATATGCCAATGTTCCATTCATGCTATTTCAGGAATTTCCACTGCTGGAATGATGTATGGATGCGGAGAGACGATCTCCCTTCCGGCTACAGTGGCTGGCAGGTAGTTGACTCCACACCTCAGGAGCGAAGTGATGGTAAGGACAACACCTCAACTTCTATTTCTAATTACTTGGGCGATATTCGGGCCTGCACGTATATCCATTGTCTTATCCCAGCAATACTTAAAGGCATTTGTTCTGTGTGAAATGTAGCATCCCTAATGTCGTTAGTTCTGTATTGTTGTTCGGTGTATCACTATGGTATCGTTAATCTATATTATTGTTTCCAGTCTTCTGAACACCGCGTCAGTTTATATCAAATATAACCAAACGTATGGTAAATCTCATATATTTACATTCGATTCCGAAATAATGCATTTTAGTTCAGCCAATGTTTACACAAGTAATGTAAGTTTTTTGTGTATGATATCATATCTCCTACATGTACATTTTATAATCAACTAGGATCCTTTCTACTTTAATTTACTAGCCGCCAGTATCTATTATCTTAATGCAATTTATCTGTGGAGTGCCGTGCTTGTGCTTTACGGGTGTTTCTCAAAACATAGAAGTTGTTAAATTTTTTTCCAGCTGCCTTGATCAGTGAAATAATCTACCGCATTTTCCTTAAAATAGTTTAAAGAACCACTTAAAGATACTGCGTGTCTTTATTGTTTTAACGGGCAATAAACTAGAAGCGACCAAAGAAGGCGAATGATCAGCGTTATCCAAGAACCCGCCGGCATCGTGAAATCCTACAAATTCACTAGAGTCCTTTTTATTAGTATTTCCACCTTATTTCTAGTCTTCCTGACAAATGTCTCTCTTATTACTATCGATTGGTGTTAAGTCTGCCATATTACAGTTAGGAACGAAATCCCTATCCAATCAGAATCAGCATGGCGAAAATAAATCACACTCGCATTAGTACAACAGGGAATGTGATTGGTTAGATGAATACCACAGGGGGTTGTATTGGTTGGATTAATCCAATAGGGATGTGGTTTCCTCACAAAGCCGCGGGAAGATGAATTACGAATTGACCAGGGAGTCAAAGTTATTTCGAGTCAGTTATCTCAGGCAAGTTGAAAACAAGGCCACTGACAGTCAGCTTGAGCACGGTCTACGTTATGATTTTCTTCCGTTTTCAAGCATTATTTGAGGTACGCCAGTGTCATGTCGTTCAAAAACGATTTTGCCATGTGGCAGTTGTTATGTTTTGGCTATATATGATTAGGGTGTCATTCCATTTGCGCTGTAAAAGATTGAGATAATAGTTTTCAGTCGAGGTTTATGTTTGGTCTCTGACATTACTGGAGTGTCTTTTAAAGGAAGAAACATAATATGAAGGAAGTAAATTCACATTTAAAGGTAACATGTTATGCTTGTGTGTTCTTGTATGTTTTAATCTTTCCAGTTTCCTAGCTTCAAAGATGGAACAAAAGACACATTAATTAATTAAACCGTTTAATACGAATTTAGAATTATATAGATTAGAGCCAAAAAATTAATTAAACTTTATCCAGTTATCGGTTTAAATTAGGCACATATAAATATAACGTTTTTTAAAATATCAAAAAGAAAAAATTGACCACATTTGAGCATTTGTATGAGCGGGTTCGGAGTTTGAGTTTCCTAAACGATCACTTTATAGTCCTTAGAGGATAGGAAGTAACACAATGTATTCGGCGTTTATTCTTGAACACCGATTGTAAAGCTCACACAGTTCTTAGAGGTGGTATAATTTACCTGCATGCTACGTTTTAACTTATGCACATGGACTTGATGTCAATTTGAAATCATTAGGTATTGAAAATTACAAAAAGTTATTGAAGTTAATTGACTACTCCGGTTCTTTTTTAAATTTCTATGTTTCAACCATTTGGCCCTTAGCGACACTGACGAAGGACAAAGCAGCTGTATGATTCAATCTAATTGTGTGGCTCTACTGTAGCTGGTTTCAATTTGTAGTGAAATATGTTGTTGATTTTGTTTCTCTTTTTATAATCCTCGCTAACGTCTTTCACGCTGTCCCTATCACAAAAATGATTTCTTCAAATAAAGCTTTTGTTACACCAGGTATGTTCCAGTGCGGACCGACCTCTCTCCGTGCTGTGAAGGCGGGAAAATGTGACATGCTGTATGATTGTCCATTCGTCTTCGCAGAGGTAAACGCAGACAAGGTCAATTGGACACGTGACAAAGAGAAACAATGGATTGTCCTTAGTATCAATACGGATGCGTAAGTAAATGAAATGCATAACGATTTCCCTATTTGTCATGTTATCTTGCCATTACATCACGTGTGTGATGTTTTAAACGTTTTCTTCTTCATCAAGGGTATGCAACTTAAACCTTCATGTGTTTATATATGTCACACTATCGAAATCAGTTTGCTCCAAACATAAAAGGTAAGATGGATCTTGATAAAATGTTACTTAAAGGTGAAAAGCTGACAAACATAAAAGCATATGGAAGTTGGAGTAGGGTATTGATTTCAATACCTGAGAAATGAATCGTATTCGACCTATAGGTACTGCTGTAACAAAATACTGTTTAAACATTTGGGTTTTTTTTTTATTAAACCTTTTCGTAGAATTGGACGAAACATAAGCACGAAAATTCCAGACGGAAAACCTTTGAAACCGGAACTGACGAATACAGACTCTATCCGGCAAGATATTACAGCTGATTACAAACATCCAGAAGGTACATTTACATTTTGTTGTTATTTCCGGGAATACTATCCCACCAAAAATGCTAAGATCATATCAGTATCTAGGATCAAGGACGACACTAAATGAACAACAAAGTATAAAAACAAGAGAATTCAAAGAAAATGCTCACATATTCCATTTGTTGCAATTTTGCAATGTCCCCAAAGTAGAGATATTATCGTATACAGTTCCGTGGAGGTAGGAGCATAGAGCATCGCTTTACCATTCTGTTCAAATTATCTCAATTGACTTTATAGTATTGCGCTCGGGTAAAAGTCATTGTGTAGATTAATGTGATTCCATTTTAATTTGTGTTTTATAATTCATTCAGTTTGTTATCTTCAGTTTCAATATAAACTACCTGTTCTTTTGTGACATATTATCAAGCTTTGCCTCCCACAGTATTAAACATCATCATGATGTAGTGAGCATGTTCTTGTCTCATCGTACTCTCCAGTATAAAGCATAGGCAATAAACCCCACATAGCTGGACAGTTTGTATTATACGCTTGGAATATGTTTTGTTCTTTCTAAAGTCTCGCTCTTGTTTCATTGTCAACCAACATTCTCGTTCATTTATATTTCCGGTGAACTTTAAGAGCGCCATTGCGATCGTCATCAGGTAATTCTATCAGTTTAAGCGTGACTGAATTTTACATCATGACATTTACGAGTCTAAATTGATTACCGACTGATGGTGCTCTACCTTATATCACCGGCCCTGGTTAGCTGGTAACGGAGTCTATATTGGTTTAACTACCAAATGAGGAAGAGACACGGAAGAGGTCTTTGCGTGATACAGTACTTGTGTTGATACAACAAATACGATACTGACAGTCTATTTCGCTTTTGATACTTCTACAGCCCATTTCACTTTAAACGCAATGTACGAATCTTAATTTTAAGCAATAAAGACTACAAATATATTCATCTGGAACTACATTTCCATCAATGCTTCTTCTTAAATAGAATTAGAATGAATTATTCGTTTCTTTTTAGGTACTTATGATTTGAATCCAAATCACAAAGCCCGGGATAATGAACATAATTATGTTTTGGCCTTAGTCAAAGCTGACGGCTGGCCGTTAATGTTTAACATTCCAAACATATCAAACGCTACCGTAAGAATCTGCTGTAAATGTATATGGCGGTCGACTTTAAACACATCCCTACAATCTTATGTTCAGTATGTCCAATTAAATGTAAACCTGAAAGGAATTCAAGTGGTGGCTCTGAAGGATTGCCTATTTTGAACCTTTTTAAATGGAGACTCTCGCTGTCTCGCATGAAATGATCTATCAAGATTCTTCCAAATACCAATGGTACGATTCAATTTGAGTGAAAGTCACATTGGGAATAAAATGTTATCAAAGATGAATTCCTCAGTAGAGGTGTGGTATGTTTACAAGATTAAGGAACTTTGATTTAACCAAATGAGTTTTTCTATGTGTTGTGGTCATGAGCCAAAGGATTAAAGCTATAATTTTCCAGTTGTTTATGAAAATATGTTCCTTAATTCATTTATTTTCATTCTCACACAAAAGACTTTCATTAGTGCAGAATTAATGGCCCATAGAAAACCACAGATTGTATACTTCATGAATCTGTGTGTACATGTAACAGAATGGTAATTATATCATATCTAGTAGAGAGCATTTCCTTTCAGTTTTGTTGAACAAGTCAAGGGATTTTTAATCATTCCAACCCAAGTACTTAATCGGTGAATTGAGAGTCGTAGCGTAATTAACACATCGAAGGTTGTGTCCGTGTTCGGTAAACTTGAAGACGGTGGGAATGTGGTAATTAGCTATTTGTGGAAGACGATGGAGATTTAAGTATGGATGAGCATGTTCTTGTCAGTAGTCATAGATTTCTCGTTTCAATCGGTGACCAGGGAATAATTATCTTCCCGTCGCTGGTAAATACTAAGGGTTATCAAATCTCTAGCAGTATCTAAAGAACACGATTGTAACATTAAATAAAATGTTACGTTAGTTCTATCCCTCTTAACGATGCAAATAAAGTCTTGTGTTATAGCTGAATACGGTCTCAAACATAAAACATACTATCACGTACGCCAAAGCGTCAGCACATGACAAGCAATACGGGCGCGTCAACATGAAGTAAAAGTTAAAACGCAGGCTATAATTAGAAAGTTAAGTCGTTGTTCAAATATTATTTTAATTATTCATAAACCCAAAGTTTAATATTTATTGAATTAAAATCAGTCTGCGTTTGTGTGATTGTAGTGTTTAGCGTGATTATCGGTATTTAAAGATAATCACATCTAGTCTACTAGTGTTGCTCCTAAGTTGTCAATATTTGACAGAAAATTTGTGTTACTTTTCTAGCCATCGCTCTTTCGACGGTTCTTGTGACCATCGTCTGAATACTGATCTCTAAATATCAATTTAAGATTAAACAGAATTGCATCAAAACAAATACATAAAGATTATTAAGATTGTTTAGGAAGAGTTAAAATCACTTGGGACTACTTCATATGTTGAGAAATCCGTAAACCAATCCTGAACGCAATGCACCAGCAAACCTGACTTATACAGGTAGCCTAGTGATAGTAAAGCCAGAGTAAGACCAGGTGTTCCAGAAAGCTAAACGTTTCCTACTTTTCGACAACTAGCACTGTGTAAGTTTTGTTCTTTTCATAAAAGTAATGTCACGTTCTCAAATGGACACAACTTCATTTTTCACAAGAAATCAGAATACCCAATCTGATCGTGATGGCGCCCATAAAATGTTCATCTCCGTGAATCTGCATCACTTTAATGCCTGTATGGTGAGTTTGTCAGTCAGCTGACGACATTTTTACAACGAAAATAATATTCGTTGCGACCTGTTAACACTATATGATGGTGAAACAGGGTATTTACTTCCTAGATATGGAAAGTTCATGACATGAAAGCCGACAAACTCATCACGATTATCATAAAACTTGGTAACGACCTGTTTTAATAAACTTTAATAAATTAGCCCCTCGTATGAAAACAATGGCCAGTCAGTTAAGAGATGAGCACAGATGTTCCCATGGGTGTGAAGATATTGCATTTGAACTCAACGAAAATATTGCCATTCATCTGTGATTGAGCTAAAGGTTCTGGATTTAAAAACTAGACAAATATAAGTGTTTTTAGAAATTGTTAAATGTATATCATCATTAGACATCACTTTTTGTAATTAGACGACTCAGTTTTTCGGATCAGTATTCGCCTCGGGTCATTTCCATTTCCTTTGAGTGGAATAAAAGTAGAATTTTCATCTTCGCTTTCTGTTATTATTACCAGGGGTATATCCTAATGTATTCACAATTTTAGAAATAATCTATTTAAAAATGAATCCATCAATTGATTCAGCAAATACCGAGAATGTTATAAGCATTCTGGAGGTGCTAGTATATAAATGGTTGGATGAAACGGAATGTGAAACAAAAACCAAATGCTCTTACATGCTCTATTTGACACGAATCTTCTACTTTGTGTTCTCATCTAAAGTTATTCATCTCTTAATGAATGAGCTTGTTTGTTTTAGAATCGGAGAGAGAACGATTATCGGTCATTTCAGCAAGTCGGTCGGCGATTACAAAGAAACCCGTCTACAACAAAGGAATACAGGTACAGATCAGTTTTGTTAAATGTAAACACCCCTACCTCCATTCACTACATTTATCTCATATTTTACACAAGCACTTCAGTTAATTGAATCTTTCTAATGAAAAGATGAATGCGTAGATTCCCCTATATCTTTTTCACGTGTCCACTACACCTGATAGATACATCAGTATTCTAATGTGAAGTTTCCCGATATAGATAAAAATGTCTAGACCTAGAGTTGTAGGCAGATTGGATGGCATCACGCGGGAATGACAGAGTCTAACGCTGTGTACGGTAAAATGGCGTTAACGGGGACGATTACTCCGTATATATTTATATGATTATACTGATAGCGTCACTAATCTTCTGTCGTATTATCAAACATCACATTCGGGACACAAAACACCTGGTCGACAAGTGAACAGGTAGATATAGGTCATAATAAGGTACAGTTACATGTACAGACAAAGTACAGGTCCGTTTGTTATTTGATCAAATAGATGAAGTGAACTGATATCAGATCTAGTAATCAATAATAGAATTTTAATCGGAGATCGAAGTGATTGTTGAACGGGCACTTTTCTTTGAATTTATTCTAAAACATTAAATGATGTTGAATTTGCTACTGAAGGATTTTATACAATATACAGTATGGTGTTTACTAATCTATTTGTGATGCTGCCAATTTAGTTACCTATTGTCATTTTACATTACATGTAATCTTAGATTCTTGGTGATTTGAATCATGTCACGAGTCATTTTAATTGGACTAGTATCAACGCAACCGACTCTCGAGATTAGCTAGGATAATAGTAATAGGTGGCATGAAGTTGGTTAGAATTTGGTACTGAAGGCGCTATTGAAATACTGTAGTATCTCAATTAATCAAGAGACAAATCTAATATAAGGCGAACTTTTTCAAAATATCACATGAAATATATATATAAAATATATATTTAAGATCAAAAACGGTTACTGAGTGAAATCATACTTTCACAAATGGATTAAAATGTGTCTGTGACAGGATGTCCAATTTGGAGGATTCCTTCATAGAGACAACGTCACCATCGGTGAGCAGTTTGAAGTCAAAATGACTTTTACAAACAACAGTCAATCGCGAAGGACATTACAGGGGAAGTTCATCTGTGAAACGGTATCGTACACTGGGGAGAAGATAGGGGTCGTGAAGAGACAGGAATTCAGCTCCCCACTGGCACCAGCTACAGGTATAACAAATATTTAGAATTCATTACCATAACGGTCAAAAACTTTTTCTCTCACGGAGTGCAACATGTCAGAGAATTCAATAACTTTGGGCAGATTTGCAATCACATCAAACACACTCCTTCAAATGTGTGATATCCTGATCAGAAATGAACGTTTGAGACAAAGGTTAAACTATTCCAAGTAACATCGTTTTCGCGTTAGTTATAATCAACTCGAAAACCCGCCGATATTCGCTTTTTCGTGTATCAGAATAAAAATGTGGACGTTCGGGGTACGCGAAACGCCGAAGCTCGGCGGGCTTACGCGTTTTGAATAACCAAAAGGCGAAAATGCGATAAAAGCTATGCGAAAAGACAAAATTTTTACAAGTATAAAACGGCACCTTTTCGCGTTATCACATAAAGAGTCTAAGGCGTAAGCCCGCCGTTGGGCATGTGTTCGCGTTAGTAACAACGCGAAAATGCGAAAAGACGAAATAGAATCAATCAACCACCATAGCATTGTGATAGAACCATAGACAACTTATCCCGTCATTGTTGGTGCACTTTTTCATTAAAAGTCATGCCTGCGCTAACCTATCAATAGGGCCACCTCCTCTTACCTGCCACATCGGAGACGTGTCGAGTTATGTGCCCTTAGGCGGGCCATATGGCACTGATTGTTTGTGCGGGTGTGTCGTGATAATGCCGTCAGTTCATGACTGTACATTGTGACTGTGCCAACATGTAATGCATATCTAAATGTCAACACACCATGTGCGCGTGCGGAAATTCTATCACCTAATGGTCATGTTGACTACAGCTCGCTTCATTATTGTACCGGTACTGCGACGTTCATCACAAAATTAATTAATATTCAAAAGATATATGGACATGTACTACAATCATATATATCAAACCCTACACCGAAAAAAAACACTCGAAAATAACCCATCATTATTTCCACAACATTGCAAAAAATCTTGCTTACCATCGAAACCAAGTTGGTTTGACAATAGTTTTCATTCCAATAGAGTTAAGAATGTGACATAACAGAATCCATGATCGGTGATTATGAACACGAGGTACTCCACGAAAGGCAATACATCTCTGTGGAGACTTAATAATGAGGAACAATAACTGCCTGTACATGATAAAATGTTAAAGTCGCGATTTTACAAGGGAGCTTAGCAGTCTCTGTGACCAAAGGTCATTTGGTCGTTCAAACTATTGTGAACAAAGGGGAAATTGTAGGTATCAAATCTACTGGATATAATTTCTAATACCAAAAAGTCCATGTGTCACCATTAACAGCCTTAGAGTCAAATGGTGTATCTCGACGGATCGACAATCCAAGACGTAGGAGCAACTCAAAAGTATTTTCTTTCACTGTCTTCATTTCAGCGTTTAATTCGTGTAGCCTGGGAAAGGAATCATATATATGTGTACAATTAAAAGAGGACATTGAAACAGCACATTGTTTCTTGATCCATACCAAAATGACAGAATCATGTTTCAAAATGTGTTAAAAAGGTACATGTACATGACATGTTAATAAAGTGTATTATAAAGAGGAGCAAAGATATAAACTTAACCATCAGCAGCACGTGCATTACATGTGAATATTTCAATAGTTCAAAGTGTATTTATATATTCTGTTAAGGTATAATATATATATTACTTTTCCTACAACACATGCAAATACTAAGGTACAATGTACTTAGAATACAAATCATGTTTCATTCTTCAAACTTAAAACACGAAAAGTTGATATTTCTGCAGATCTTTGTCACAAATCTACAGAGTTGAAGTCATGGAATAAAAACACGTGGTATATATACCAACGTAACAAAAACACATAAAAAAGACATATTTTCTGATGACTAATTCAAGGTTGCTGAAATCCAGTTTGTCAGCAGTCACGCTACCAGACGTCATAAATACCACCATGGCGTCTCTTGCGGTAGTCCAAATCAAATCAGGAAACTATAGTCGATAACATTTCCGTAAGGACTAGACGACTGCGCCTTCTATAAAGTCACCGGTGTTATGATCATCCGACTGAATTAATTTTCCTCACGGGTGCTTTGATGTTCCTTCTCTCATCTGAAACAATCGGATCATGTGTAGGCTCTGTCAGTTTTGATTGTGTATGGTAAATTACATAAACGGACAACAATATTTCATTTAACCCTTGTCCTGGTGAATTCCTCGATGTAAGCTACCGTTGATAAACTCCATTGCTATTAGCACTATATGGAATACATTGGATGTCCGCCATTTTCTACTTTTCGACTTCACCATTTCTCTACGTTTCTTCTCTAGTCCTCGACACTCCACTTTAAACATGAAAACACATTTGATAGATAAGCACGATAGTCATATATTTGACCGATCACTACACAATTACTAGTTAGTAGAAATTCAAAAAGTTTACCTTTCCCTCTCGACGGTCCAGTGAGTCTTGACATATTCAAATGATGTTAAAATGTATGCAAGTAGAACAGAATAATTGGTATCAAATTGACTCATAAAGATTGCATTAAAAAGTGGTTTTATGTTTGTGAAGAGTCGTCTTGTAACATCTATTGGTAGTCAAATAGTCCTAGTTTTGTGTGGTCATCTTCACTATATAATGGATTAATACTATAGTTCTATAGCAGTAATGTAAAATTATCATTGTTCAAACGTGTATCTAATCTTTTACTCGTAACACAGTTTAACGTTCAGTCTGAATGTTCCTGTTGTTGTCAATGGCTTACTCTTCAAACTAAATGATTTTTCAGGTGGAGAGATGTCAATGATTGTAAGTTATGCGGATTATATCCACAAATTGACTGAGCACGCGGCGATGAAAGTCATTGTGGTTGCCAAGGTAATGGAGACTGGTCAAATACACGTTTGGCAGGACGACTTCCGGTTGAGACGCCCTGATCTGTCGGTTGAGGTAACGATTTTATTGGTGACTGTAGTGCGCCATCTTTCATGTCATTTTCCCCAGTGTGATGATTAAGGGTTGTCTCGTCAGAGTTTTAAAACACAAGCAGCAATCGAAATGTAATCTGTCTGGACGTTTTTGTCAACAGACTTATTAGTGTTGATATGTGCTGTCAATATGTTTAATGCGGGAAAATATTGGAGAAGAGAAGAGAACGAAGGAAAGGCCTTTGTCGTAATATCATACTTAAAGTTTAGAAATATCATGTTTCTTACAATGAATACAGGAAGTGTGACAGACATAGCAACAGTGTTTACAATCAGACCAAACTTCTGTTTATACTGTCCTCTGTACTTATCCATTGCTGCAGGAGAACCACACACCTCTCGCGATAAAGTCCAGTTGGATAGAGTAGTTCTATCTGCATTCGGAAGGACAAATTCTTAACATGTTGTTTTTAAATATTGTGTATCTATTTTTATCCAATTGGTGTTTTAAGATAAATATTTTTGTAATATTTCAGATAACCTCCGCCTCTTCGCGGACATGGCAGCCTTTCGAATGTCGAATCTCTTTTCTTAACCCGCTAAACCGGAACCTCACAAACTGTACGATGATGGTAGAGGGCCCGGGGCTTGATGCGGAAAAGGAATTCATGATCGCGTATGTGTACATTCTTGATACGGTTATGTCTAACCTTGTTCCTACCATACGCATGTGTTCATGGTTGGATTCAAAATATTTGAGGTTTTGTTCCATGTTCTTTCCCAATTCCATGCTCTTGGCCCATTGTGTCGTGATAAGTACGTCGCTATTGCCATCACAACCAAAGTACATAAGTAACTGTCATTGCAAAAAGAATCATTACTTCGTGATTTTACTCTCTATCCTTCTTCTGTCCAAGGCAAGTTACACGAATTGTACCTAAAACACATAATATATACACTTTAGCTGTATATCCTCATATGTATAACGATCGGTAAGCTTAGATCCTGTCCATACCATTCAGATGCTATGTCTTGTGTCTTCAGCTCCTTTTGATGCAAATGTTATTCTTCTGTTTCTCGTTGTTTAGACTGTGTAGACTGTAAGGAATTGTTAGAATGAAAAGTAACCTTTATTTTAGACATAGAGATACATTATATCTTGTGCAGCTGAATTCAAACCCACATTATACAAAGTCGGTGTGCTGAAACAAGGTCAGTGTGACCCCTTTTCCAATATCAAAGGTCAAATAAGAGTATTTGTGGGTACATTCGCTTTAGGGCAATGACTTTATAAATGTGTATATAGTTTGATAGAACTTACAAAGTAAATATTACCTTGTGTGACTATTGTACAATCTCAATCACCTGCACTAGGATAGGTCAGTGATACCTTGAAATAATGAACAGAAGCAGGACATTTCTAGCTTATTCCTTTATTTATGGGTTTCGATTTCTGGTAATATCCAATTCTAACATCTGTTGTATTAACGTTTAGTGTATTTTGTCTCCGTACCTTGATTCTGTTATAATTTCTGGTAATTTTGTCTTTTCCATATCCTATTGTGTGTTGACATTGTGATATCTGTCCTGGTGTGTTGACATTGTGATGTCTGTCCTGGTGTTTATCCTCTGTAGTATATTTTGTCCTGGTGTGTTGACATTGTGATATCTGTCGTGGTGTGTTGACATTGTGATATCTGTCGTGGTGTGTTGACATTGTGATATCTGTCGTGGTGTGTTGACATTGTGATGTCTGTCAAATATAATATAAAAATGGTGTTGAATGGGAAAATGGCACGACAACTTAACTTGTCCGTGATATGTATTACTTTAAAGGAATACATGGTGTTTTTGTGACTTTACACATCAGGATAAATATTTTAAACCCTTTGGTACGAGTCAGGAAAGAATCCAACACCAGATAAACTGATCAGTGTAAGTTTACAAACTCAATAACTTATACCGGACATTTCTCTACAATGTATCTCACAAGGGCGTGGAATAGTATCTTACCCGGCTGGAATTCTTATATATGCTATATAAGAACTCCAGATCATAGTGTTGTCGATGTGATTAGATTGTGGACAGGATTTCATTAAGTAGATCATGTGGCATGATACATTTGTTATGGAAGTCCTATTTCCATCTTAGCATTAAGCATGGAAACATCTGTTCAGTGATACATACAAATGTATGGGAAAACATCATGGCTTTTGTACGGTTTTTGTGGTTTCAGTGACGTTGGTGCTGGTGAAACATGGATTGCCCTTTTGACCTTGACTCCAAAGAAACCGGGACGTCGACAAGTGGCTGTGACTTTCAACTGTGACCAACTAAAGGACTTGAATGGGGTCACGGAAATCAACATTACGAATTGATTCAAGCATCCTGGACATTTATTCACATTTACAAAGTAATTAAAATAGAATTCATAAAGCTTCAGAAGTAGATATATACTCATGTTGATATTTTAATGGAAAATTATTTTAATAAAACTTAATATGACGTCAAGTGTTGCACTCAACCGGCAATTTCGTCAGAACGTCTCAAATTGATTACAATACATAAGGATAGATGGAAATTCTATCGTAAAATTAATCAAAAGTCAGACAACAGGAGCTGTGCAGACAATTTTGCAGACAACAGGAGTTTTGCAGACAACTTTGCAGACAACAGGAGCTTTGCAGACACCAAAACAAAAGGAATGCAACATTTTGAGCACTACAAAATACGGGTATAAAAAAGATTATCGGAATTTATTTCTCTGCTTCTAATGTGGTACTCCTAAACATTTTCCGTTGGAGCTAGGAACGTGTTCCTGCAAGAATGGCGACACTCGTCAGGTAGTTTCTCCTGAAGTGTTATAGCAGGGCGATAACGGGAACAAATGAAGAAGTCTTGTCGAAAGCCGAATGCCTTCGGACAAAAACAACAGTGATCAAACGTTTCAAAACAGTCTAAAATTTCGCATGTAGAAAACTCCCGCTTTGTAGTTATTTTGTCTGCAATACGCACCTATCTAGAAAGCATCGACTTGATATTTTATTGGTCTGTAAACTGACATAGAACACGCTGTGTATAGGTTTGCAGAAGGTATCTCTCTAGAAGACTTACAGAAGTAGTTTGTTCATTAATTACGATGACCTAATGATTTATTGTGAAGGCAAATTTGTCTAGATACGTCTGGCTTAGAAGGATAGTTTACGTCACATGTAACCCTAGAATCCCTAGCTAAAGCAGTTTGTAAATCAGAAACAATAACAATCTCCAGGTAAGTCTGGAATAGTGCTGACAGGCATGAACGGTAGCGTTTTTTAAATCATAAATGTACTCTGTGTGTTAAGATGTGAGGATTTGATAGTATAGAGTAAACTGTCTAGTTAAGAATGCCATGAAATAGTCAGTTTACTTTATATTGCTCTTCCTCAAATAGAAATGCTGTACAATCTCTCTTTTTATCTCAAACTCTTAGCATATCAACATACTGCATTTGTGGTAATATCATAACAAAGGTTCCAACACTCAGTCGGGAACAAAATCATTATTATTATAATTTTTTTTTAAATCTTTACTTTCTCAAAACGTAAAATTTCTTTACATCAGTGTTTAAATGTTAGATTGTGCAAAAACTCCGGTTTTTCCCTTGATTTCTAGAGAAATGTTTCGATATGATTAAGTCCTAAAATCATAGCCAACTATTCAGACTCTTTATATAGCTTATCATGCATTTGCCTTTATTTTGAACCCCACTCATTTTGTTGTAGGTTTCAAATTTCTTCATTCGTCCCCTTTCTAGATTAAACATGTCATCTCTATATTGTGGTGTTTTATCTACAGTTGACAGGCAGTATGCTAAAGACTAGATAAAAAAAACAATTAGTTGTAGCTGATAAACTTGACCATATTTACCAAGTTTCTTGTTGGAAGATAAACGTTGAAAGAGTGGCATTTGCTGAATTATAATGTAGGAGTCACATCTAGTCTGACCATAGTTCCTCGGCGTGGCCTTGGCCTTTGGAAATATATGTCATTATTCTGAATTTCATCAAGCATTTATTTTGAAGCTGAAATTTATTCAGACTTTTGTGGAGAATTTTTCTTCCACAACATGAGAGCAAATTGATTATTTGATCCTACTTGAGCAGAATAAATTCCAAAAATTAAAGTTTTATAGGCTTACAATGATTTCTTGATATGAACAAGAACCAGTTAGTTGGCTGAATCAAAGAATACTAGACTTATCTGTCAACTCATTATGTGGTTATATTGGCTGACAACACTATAGTTATTGTATTTGATATTTCTAATTAGATTGTTGATGTACAGAATCATTTAACTGTGAAAAATATGGTGACCACCATGTATATACCTGGTGGGAAAAGAACTTGTTCCACAATGGGCAAACACTGGTAGCTGATGTGAAACAATATTTTTAGAACTTCTTCACTGTTGTCGTGGACAAAAATACACTAATACCATGTCATGTAACAAATAACTTTATTATGATATTTTGCTGTATATCAAATATAATAACAGTTTATAATGTTAGGTAGTAGCGAAAAGGTACAAAAGTCCCTTTAGAAACCCAAAGATCTCATTCTTTCCCAGCTTGGATTCACCATATACTCGGTCCACAAAGGAAATTGGCACCTAACAAAAACAAATTTTAAATCCTTAGTTATTTATTCTGATTTCCTGTATCTCATCAATATCAACAAAAATAATTCTAATAGAAACATATATCTGATATTTTGCAAGGAGATGTGTAACTTCCAATGACGATATTGTATATAACTACATAATATAAGTGTGCATTTCTTTGAACATTGTCTTATACAAAAGTAACATCTCATAAATTTCTGATTTGCTGTAGCAGAGAATTCCAGCCAGTTAAGGAACACAGAGGACAAATCACACTGACTTTCAGTTATTAGACCTGTAGACACTTACTTCTCCGATGGAGTAGTCGAACTGTCTGGCCCGGATAATCATCTCCATCTGGAACACATAACCTTTAGACATGCAAGCTTCTACCAGTTTCTGGAGGACTTCCTTCCTGTACAGTCTAAAATCAAACAAACAATTTATGGCTTATCTTATTAAGTTTGACATCCAAATCTGTTCTGGTGGTACATGACATGTGATCAACACTCTCAGTGATCGATAACATTGCACATGTACCAGATTATCTTGTCGTGGGTATGGCCTCCCAAACACTCCACAGATCACTGTAAAAGTATAGAAATTAGAAACATATACTGTAACAAGACTACCATAATACATTAATCATTCCAGCAAATATTGATATGTCTTACAGCTTAACAAAGTGCTGCTCAACTGTTTTCACAGCCTTATTGATCATCTGTATTAAAAATTCTATGACAAATTTTATCATCAATGCAATATCAAAAATTAGATACATGGGTTGTAATGTTACTCCCCATATAATTATTAATCTATTATCATACATTCTAATATCTTTATTAGAGTATTTACTAACCTAAAGCTACCGGTCAGATCTGAAGCTCCAGGTCTCAGCAACACTTGTGTTACATAGTTTGCTGTACGGCTATCAAATAAATAAATAGATTCACAAAAATATACAATAAAAGTTTATATACATTTCTATACGTATTGAATCTCAGTAACAAAGCCAGACACACTGAAAAAAAAATTGTAGGTACACACCAATGAAGATTAATTTCTATTCAATAAATATGGATGGATTTTATTCTGGATCTACAATGCATCTTTCTGTGATTCTACACAATACATTCAAAGTTTGTACATGTAAGCCATTTTCTTTTTCTGGATAGAATGCCTTTTTCATGGATTTTCTTATTTGCTATTTTACAGAATACTCTTGTTAAAATAGAAGCTTTCAGTCTCTTCTGTTGTTTCTGCAAATAAATACACCCTTCCACATAAATTTTGGTTAACCAGCAATTATTTAAAACAACAGAAAAGTCAACACCTAGACCATTGATATAAGGTTTAGGTTTCTTTTTTCAATGCTTACAATCTTTAGAATTTCATCACTATTGCACAAAAGACAATTATAAAGACAAAGATAATTATTAAGAAATCTGATCAGATTGAACCCTATTGATGAATTCATTTCATAACAATTGGTAAAAAGATCAGTAATAATGTTAGTTTAAGGTACTAGCACCAGAGCTATAACAACAGAACAATGTGTCTACATTTTGTATATCCACCATTTGGATCAATGAATGAATGAAGCCAATCTCTATGACATGATTTGACAGACAAACATCATTACTTAATATAATTTGCTCCAAAGTGGATGAAACCTTTACACTTTGTGTTCATACCTAAAGAGAGAGGTTGACATGAGAAAAATAAAGAGATATTAAAACCCAAATGTTCCAATATCTTTCTGGGGTAAATTTTAATCATCTCAGTCATAAATGTCATGGGGGTTATATTACTTTAATTCTAAATGGTCTATATAAATATTGTACTTCTGAAGTAGAATTATAAAACACGTACTGTAATGTATATTATTGATGATTCCACTTAAACTTGCTGCACAAGACGTTTAAGGAAACTTTGTCTTGTGTAGATGTTTATTTCCGAATAAATGTCAAACTTTACACATGCCAGTCAATTTTATTTAAAAATCAAAAAAGAAAAAAAAAAGTTTTAATTAGCACCAACTGCTCTGAAACCAGGCTATGATTAATTAGCAATTCCACTAATGACATAGGCAATGCTAGCAGCAGTTCTATTTATAGAATAAGTTCTAACACTACATTGTGTATGCTCAGCAGTGTGTATACAGCAAAGCACTAATTCATTTAACAATGAGAGCAGAAAGATTTCCAATCCTAATATCTAATTTCTAACATGACAAGCATTTGTTAAGAAATGTAATAAGGCCTTCACAGGAATTAATTCTAATTATTACAAGTGTGTTTCAACCTTCATTTGCACTAATTGGTTGATTCTGTATAAATTATATAGCATTGCTTTACCCAGTCATAAAATTCAAATAATAACAAGGTCCCATGAAAATTTTCAGGGAGCATACAAATCACTGATAATTGTATCATTCAGAGCTTAAACAAGCTCAGGCATATTGGTACAGCAATAATTACTTCAGCTTTTAGTTTAGTTGTAGTAAGAATAAAACATGGTCCTACCTCATTAGTTTTCGTTTGAAGTCCCAACCAAACACTCCTCCATCTCCTATATATCTTGTACCTGACACAAGATCAAAGTCACCCTCCTTCTGTTTCCTTCAAATAACAGATTATTAAATTCTATTATTTTCTGTCTGAAAGACTTTTCTGAAGAAATAAATATTTTTATTTCTATAAACAATTCCTAAGATATTCATCCACCAACTTTGATTACTAACAAAAGCCAAAATATCAATTATTAAAATGCTTCAAATTCTTATTAAATAGAATGTATGAAATCAATCCAAGTACTTACTTGATGAATTCTGGAATGAATTTTGGCTTAAAAAGAAAATACAAATGTTAATATAAGTTATAAATGTATAACATAACATATTAGCTGTATAGGCCAGTTATCTCAATATCCACTTTAAATAATTGCTTTTGATTACCATATACAATAAATAATTACCTAATTAGATGTAATGGTATGAATGATGATTCTGATCACTACTTACAGTAATAGGATTTTTAATTCCTGATATTGAATATCACAGTATGCAGAAAAGTGTTTACTGAAGATTGTATCTTATTTATATGTGGCCCTCCATATGGAGAGTTAATTCAGCATTATGATGAAATGGTAAAAAAGAACTATATATAATATCTATATACTATGGAAGGTATATCAGATAAGCACAATATTTATGAATGACAATATGATTTTTTTATACATTGTATTACAGTATTGATAAACAACAGCACCTCATTAAACTCAAAACATACAGCTGTATCTACTAATATATAAAAGAGCATTTAAGTTTGATGTTTCTTTAAGATCACTTAAGTGTTAATACCGGTATTACATATTTGAAAGAAATACTTGCTTAGTTATATACTGTACAGTTATAACTAAGGGGAGGAAACTCAAAAATACATGATTAAAAATACCACTTTCCACCAACATGAAGTTCCACAAATATTGTATAATGTCATTAGATATTCCACTTTTCAAAAAAAAAAAAAAAAAAACAACAAAAAAAAAAACAACTTTTTTTCCAACTTAAGCTTAATAAGTGACTTTGGACTTGGCTAACAAAGCACCCACAACATATATATGGAACTATTTACCAGTACTCTAATTACTATCAGCTCAAAAGATGTGTACATTGTATATGTTTACTATATTGAAATGTAGCATCTCTCATGTCGCAAATTTATACTCCGAACATGAAAATGTTTCTAAATGGATAGACAAAATTTGACATAGCCTGGGTAGATGTACACCTTTACTTACGTGATGAGACATATCTGCATCCATTATAATCACAAAGTTTCCAGTTGCATGTTTAATTCCATGGATATATGCTGTTCCTACAACAAAAACACCACAACCACTAACCAAATGATGACATTGAAAAAATAAGGTTGAAATAAAATTGGTCAAATTCTTGTAAAACCCGTTAAACCTAAGTTAGATGACAGATCTAGACAGTGACAATGGATGATGCCCAGGGATCATCCAATCCCATTGAAATGTCAAAACCTAAACAACCTTTCAATAGACATGGTCATATCAATCTGACAACATTACAGAGGAGTCAAATAGGACAGCATGGCAAAAAAGGTACATTATAACTTTATGTATTTTAGCAGAAATCTGAATATTTTAGAACTTTTGACTAAAATATGACAGTGCTGATTGCAGTACCTTTTTGTCATTTACATAGCAATTATTTTGACAATTTCATCAGTATATACTAATCTGTGTAAGAATGATAATGCACTAAAATTTCATTACGGCTAAACAAGTATGTTTACAGTAGAGTGGAGGCAAAACAAAATAATCAAAGTGGAGCTTTTTTCTTCAATATTTTATTAAAACTGAAGATCTTCTCTTCAAGTCATATTTAGAAGACAGCAACGCCATAAGGTAGGTAACTAGCATCAAAATGTAATTTTTTCTTTTTACATGCATGTGTGAGCAAAAACATTATTTTTGTATTCCAAAGAAAATATCAGTATTTAACAGAAACTGAAAACAATCACCTTTTGTGATCTGAATTCCATGATATCATGAGCAAATTCTTTGTTCATGTTTCACAACTGCATGACTCTGTAAATATCTTGTCATGAAATAGTAAATTTTACATAAACATACTTTTCTGATATCTATGGGCATTTATTAGTACAGTTAACAGCGTTGAGATTGTTTTGATACTTTACATGGTATTTGTAAATCCTAAATGAAGTGAGCTGACTTCTGTGTGACAATGTATGCAGTTTTTCTTACCCAATCCAAGTTTCTTTTCTCTTGGTCTTAAGACCTGAAAAAAAGTTCTGATGTAACTAGGGGTTTACTCAGCATTATAACATTACCAAATAAAATGTTAAAAAGTCTTTACACTCTGTAGTCAAATAATTACTCTATATTGCAAATTGAATATACCCTTTAATAAGGAGAGTTTAAATCATCACATCAATATACGAAGAAGTCATGCAGATATACAGTATTAAACGTATTAAATTTACATTATTATTGTTCCCATGTGAGTGAAAATTGGTTTCAAACTTTCAACATATAAGAGATGTAAATTGTCATAATAAAGACTGCATTTTAGTTATAACATTGCTTTGCTTACAATTTTATCTTTGCCGTAGATCTTTTCAAGTTGTTTTGCTGCCTCCAGTGTTCCATCAGGACTTCCATCATCAATAATGATGATTTCATAGTCATATCCACTTAATATAAAGAACAAATCAGTAATTATATCTGCATAACAAAGTAAACACATTAATGATAAATACCAAATTCTATGATATTAACTATACATTTCTAACTACTGAGCTCTGCTAGAATACTCCTGTATCCACCTAGGATTCCTCCACCGACACATCTAGCGAACATTACCACCAATGGGACGTTGGACTCCTCCAAATTCTATGATATTAACTATACCCCCCCCCCCCTAGGATTCCTCCACCGACACATCTAGCGAACATTACCACCAATTTTTCCACCCCCCCCCCCCCCCCTTTTTATTTTTCTACTGAGGGAAAATACAAAACGTGACTGGCATGGACTCAACCAAGGACCTCTGAACACTTGGAACCCAGGTAAGTCTGGCTTTGAACTCAATGCTGACATTCTTTGACTGACCTTGTTCAACTACAGAGGTATGAATGGTAAAACTATTAGATAGGTTCCATGTGTTCAGTTTTGACAAAGAAGTGTATCAATGATATGATTAGCTATTGAGTTTGTGATGCTTATCACATATTCAGTGCAGATTGGTTATGAATGAAGGTCAATGTCATTCATTTAAACAATGCTTATCTATCAATACAGACCTGGCCGACACCTGCTGCCAAGTGCTATAAAATTATCTTTCTTGTAAAAGCTACTGCTGAATGGGAAATTTTCCTCACAGTTAAATTTTGGTCACTTCAAGTTTGGCTACTAGAGTAAAAGTATGTGATAGGCTAAACCTTTATGTAAAAGCTGTATTTTATATTTTTAGCTGGAATTTATTCAAGGGTAAAAAACTCTGTGGGTAAATGTTTTGGTACATATATTACCTATGACTGTTCTTCCATTCATTTTAATCTCTTGACCCTTTGCTCTATCACATACTCTACCCTTAAGTACAAAATGTATACATGTATGAAGAAGTCAATGGTTCTTCATAAGCAGCTGCAGGTATAACAGATTTGATAAGAACGTAGTCCAAATTATTCTGATGAGCTATCAATTTTTTTTACATAGGGCTAATGTTGACTTCTGATAGAGATGAAAATATTGACAGAACATCAGAATTAGTTGAACTGATCTGACCCCTGTTATATCATATAGGTATAGGTAGGTGTACATGTATACAACTTTGCTTCAAACTAAGAGTTCACATAATGTAACGTAACTGATTTGTCAATGGAAAGAAGAAAAACTGATACAAGAATGTAATTAATTATAATCAAGTTTATAATCTTGAACAGAGATGTGACAATCTGGCCCCCTAGTAGTTACGTCCTTAATCAATCTAACCTTAATAGTTCCAGCCCCACCCCCTATTGACATTTAGCTTAACATAGATGTATCTTCTCATCTAAAAGTATCAGTTTTTGAGACATCACCAGCACCAATCTACAATGTACCAGTTACCATTAACAAAAGTCCAGGCGGTGGTATTTAAACAGTGTCCCAAGTGAGGACTGTCCATCCTCACATCATATAGATGCCTCTAAAAATCTTTCAAAGAATAGTAGGCATGATAATCTTGATCCAGAGGTTTATGGAATATATAAAAATTTGAGAAAATCACAACCATTACTTACTGGGGCATTTGATGGATGCCAAAATATACCTGGTATTAAATAAAATTACATAGGCCCTGCCAAACCCTGTGCCTCCTCCAGCTGGTAAGAGTCAATTGGTGAACACTATCTATGCCAATGGACATGTTAAGGCGCCTTTAGGCCATGGCGCAATCTTCTTAAATTTACTTCTCAATATTTTGAACCCTGACAGACAGCTCCACTCCGCGATTGGGATGCGGTTCACCCTCCTCACCGGTTTATTGGCAGACAGAGAGCGATACAGAGATAAGATGTCAGTCGGTGAAACTGTAACCTTTGTAAAATACTAGCCTTAATAACCACTCGGCTAGGGAGAACTTCTCTTTAACTCGATTAGTTGAGCGTCAGACTAGTAAGCCAGGGTTCCCGGGTTCGATTCCTAGCGGAGGCATTGAAATAAATAATGACCTCTTTTACATTGGCGCCAATGTAGGGACCCAGGAATAGTATTTTGCCATGCGCCACCAGCGTCGCGCTAACCCCTGGAAACTCGAGGACGAGTTATTTCCTGAAGGGGGAGTATGTAACCTTGGTAAAATACTAACCGCAATAGAGCACTCGGCTAGGCCCTACCTAGGGAGAACTTCTCTTCAGCTCGATTGGTTGAGCGTCAGACTAGTAGTAGTAAGCCAGGGGTCCCGGGTTCGAATCCTAGCGGAGGCATTGAAATAAATAATGACCTCTGTTACAAAATAATGCCTAGAAATAGGACTGGTCAGGGAGACGGAAAATCTACCAACCAATCAACCATCTAATCTAATCCACAGTGTACAAAGTACCGGGAAAAAGATGATGGCATTGTGTACTAATTTGCATCATCGTTCAATCACACAGTGACTTTTGTTTTGTACTCAATATGCAACAACTATTAGTATGAATATAACAGAATATTGAAGTCACTGCCCTTACCTTTCTGTGAAGTATTTAACGAGTAACCAGACTATGAGAGGAAGGTTTTCCCTCTCATTATAAGTCGGTAAAAGCACCGAGTACTTGTCTTTTGACGCCATGTTGGCAGGGTTATAGTTCACAGGGAAAAGTCAGTTTTCGTATAAATATTTTAGCAATTGTATTTAACTTTTGGTAAGATATTTAATATCTGTTCTATACAATGTTATTAAAAGATTTTATGTGTATAAATTACTTCTTTTATTAAAGCTAGACATTTTACATCTCCTTTTTATTATGAAAAAATAACAATTTCTCCCAACCGGAAATAACCATTGACCCCGGAAAAAAATTGGTAGGCAGACGATGGATCCGGCCACGGGATAGTGATGTTTTGATTTTGATCCGTCATCATTAGAACAATGACGTTTATCGAAACTGACACTGCAGCACAGGAAAGGTATCGTATGAACAGAATATAAGAAAACAAATCATTTCATGTTGCTGCTTAATCTGTGGTACAACGCAGTAGTCCTTACTCTATGTGTAACACATAGACTATAGTGAAAATGTAAATGATATAATTCACAGTCAAACTGCTCATGATGGGTCAGCCATGGTCAGTGTCAACTGGTTTGTCATCATCATTCATGTACACGGACAATGTTCCAGTGTACATTATGTACATCGATGTACATTGTACAGGTACATGTATGATGGTAATATTTTTGTGGGTTATTTTGTCGTATCAGTGACCGGTAATGATGAGTACTTAATGAGATCCCAGGAACCAACAGAGACACAAAAATCAGACATTCGATGAGTGAAGTAAACTTTTCATTAGACTAAAGTATCAGGGACCATACATAGAAATACAATTATTGCTATCAAATATGATACAGATATATATATCACAAATGTAAGGTTGCTAAATGACACGTTGCGTTGTAAGTCTCATGCCATAAATTGTTTTGAAATTACATTTTTAAATATGAATGTCTAATCTTTTAATCTATTTGCCAATAAAAATGTCTCATTTTCATCAACACTGAACCAGCTGCTTTTTCAGCATTTACATTTACATGTATGTAACCAAATTATTCTACATGTACTAATTGATAATTAACCAACCTTTCTGTTTTTTGGTTGTCAAATATACTGACCCTAAAGTTTGAAAATTATAGGCAAGTGCAATTAAAGTAAGAATCATCACAAAAATAGATACACAAATATGTAAAAACTTCTTTCCCAACAGACCCCTATGATGTTTCAAATGTATGTGTAACCCTGAACAGAGGTGTAATTATATATATTTTGCTTCATGATAACTTATTGCATTAATTAGTATCTTGATATAAAGTTTTTAACAAAAGTAATACAAAGACTGAGTAAACATACATTTATATCATAGTTTTAGGTACTGTGTACTTTGTACTCTGTATTAAATATAAACTCATTGAAATGGAAAATGCCATCCATGTAGCAAGGTGTTATCTACATAACAAATTCCCAAATCTGGAAAACTTATATCCATTGCACATGCTTTATGGTAGTAGTCCCAAATTTTGAACTTGTCTTTCATATTTCCAGTAAAGAAGAAACTTTATTCTAACAGAACGTTTTGATTGGAGTTAATATAAATACATGCATATAAAGTGTAGGTCCACAAAACAATTCCTTAACAACATCACATTGTATTGATACATAATAAGCCTGTTTGTATTTAAAACTGCCCTGGCTGTGAAAATGAAAATAGGTTCTATTTCCTACTGCTGCAGCCCCCCTCCCCCCCCCCCAACCCCAACCACCCCACCCCCCACCACTCCTTGTTAGGGGATGCTACAGAGTATATATACGGTAATATTTATTGTCTTGTAACTTTCAACTGTACCATTATGAAATGTTGCATAATATGAAATATTACATAGCTTTAATGTGCTAATAATTTCAAATGTAAATAAAATAAATGTGCTTATGAATGAAAATGAATTTTGTTGAATATTTAATGTTCAGATTCTGTTTTGAATGACAATTGTATTTAAACTTTCTGATGGATTTTTCTTTCAATTGCTATTTATGATTTACTGACAATTATTACTCTGTATAATTTGAAATGGATTAATTACATTTCCTTTTGTATCCTGAAGGTTTAATCTGCTGCTGTTAGAACCTGGTGAGATATACTTTGAAGACTTCAGTGTATTCTTTTACCCCAGAAATCTCTCAGAAGATGAAGCCATTAAAAGGTAAAAGATTGTACAAGCTAACTTAAATTATGACATATTGGATATTTAGAATATTGAAATAGCCTTTATGCACATTGAAATGATATGTAATATTTGTCCAAAGGCTTCTGATACAATAAGTAAGACCTTGAGTGACTCTCCGCATATTATCATCTGTTTCTTCTTGTAGTATTTGAAGTCACTACCCAGCATCTCATTTGTATGTATTATGATATTTACTTGTATGTCAGTTAGAGAGCAGTACATTTTGTACAATTATACATGATAGTAAAAGTAGTAAATCTTACCTTTATCATATTAGTGTCATTCATGTATATATACATTGTACATATGTAATTGAGTAACTATCTATTTGTAACAGGAAACAGAGAGGCCATCTGAAAATCTGTTCCAAATCTATAGTTTTTGTCCCAAAGGAGAGTCAGCACCCTATCCTTAAGGTAAGCAAACTTTTACCATTGACACATTAGGTTAACTCCTAAATACTCTACTTAGGTCTCTTGTGTTTATAAGTTGAACTAGCAGAATGGCAGTTACAAAGAGTATGCATACCGAACGATATATCTATCTTCATTTTTTTTCTGTTTTAGTTTCCACTTAAACATGTCAAGGAAATCAATGAGTGGTCAGGTGGTCTGTTTTCAAGGTAAGGACTACTGAAACAACTTTCTAAATATCAGAAATATGAAACACTGATACATAGATTTTATTTTGATGGATTCATAATCGGATTGATCATTTTATCAAATTTCTTATCCTAAGTAGACTTGAAAATATCCTTAGATCTCATATGTAGCTTTATAATTTGTAAGCTTACATACACATGTCCTTCCATTAGCTTTATACTAATGTAAACAGTGTTAACAATTTGATTTTTTGTTACACAAGAAGATTTATAAACTAATAAAACAAATCTACCAATTATTATATAGACTTAATTCAATAGAAATTTATGCATAGGGAAAGTATGATAGTATGGCTGACAAGGTAACCACTCGAATTAACCAATATTTATCTTGGACCCTATCATAAATGTTAATCTATCCTTAAGTTGAGTTTAAATAATTCAATAAAAACAGTATGTGCATGAATTTGTTACTACAGGATGGATATGAATGACCGCATGGTGAAGATCAAGACTGATCAAGTTATTGCCATGAAGGAAAAAAACATAATAGCTCCATATATATTCCATAAGGTAACAGCCATTTATATTTTAAAAGAAATTCTAGCAATGTAGAACACAATTTACATTTAGTTAATGTTCTTACTTAGTAAACTTGCAGTAATTTTCATCAAAGTGACTTTAACTCATTCAGTTGGAAGGGTCAGACCAGATTGGATCTGAATAAAAAAACCTACAGATACAAGTCAGCATTTGCTAGTCAGTGGAACTTTCCGCACCTTCAGTTTTAGCAGGCCAGTCGTACCTGTCCAAAACTCAATGTCTGGATATCATTAGCTTTCATAATTTTTGCATAAGACCAAGTTGATACACACATATTTCCTGAACTGTTTCATTGTATGCTGTTTGGTACTTATTAAAATGGAACATATTTTATTATTAGTGTATTGTTTGATATTTGAAGCTAAATTCTGAAACTTCATTTAGAAATCTATCTGTCGCCATCTGGTGTAGTGTGTAGGTGTGTTAATTTATCATGAAGTAGTTTCATGCTGTCAAGAGAGCTTGATGTGAAAGTGGCCTAGATCTTTTATATACGTGTATATATAAATGTAAAGTTTCATGATGGAATTTTATTAACTCTCATTTGCACAGATTCACATGTTGATAAGACTGTTTTGGATAACATTGAGCAATTAGTTCTTCTGATAAAAAAAATATTTATATGTATATTTTCTACTGAATAAATGAACACAAGACTAAAATACATGTTAATGTAATTTTGATTAGGGAAATTTTTGTCCATAAGTGTTTGTATAGATGTGATATTATTACACAGGAATCGGTGGAGTTAAGGTTTTCCCTGAACTATGTGACTGCTGATGACTGTCTGCCTCAGATGTGTCAGCTGCATCGGGCATCTACACTTCCACCAGCAGACCAGTCAGCCATGGTAGGATCACTTTTGTAATTTTCTGAATTTTGCAGTTTCACACTTTGTATGTCTTTCCACAGTCTATGTCTTCATCCTTTTTGGAGATATGGATGTGTTTCAATTCCAGATTTTATTGAAAATTTAAAGAATATCAGAATTTGATCTCCATAAAAAATCATGAGGCACAGTATTATTTTCTGTAACATTATGTATCTTACTTGTTACAGAATTCACAGTTCTGTACTGGTGTATGAATGTGAATGATTTATTTTTTTGTTAACAGATTAATGCAATTGTGTTGTCAAGAAGATCTCGAGTGAGCTTTAACACAAGCTGGTGAGTTATTGATTTAAAGATATCTTCACGTACCCAGCTTATAGTATTCAAATTGACTTTTTTTATTTATTTAACTTTTCAATAGTGAAGCATTATATCCTTTGTATGCATTTCTTTTTTATCAAGGTGAAGGTTATGAATTCCTTTTATTATTTATACTGCTTGTTAAAATTAATACAATAGATGTTATACTTAGTCTATTAGAATTAAAATTGATCTTTAATTTGAGAATTTAAGATAATGATATAGTATGAGGTTACCCTATCATGTTTAGGCTTGATGACCTGTATGAAAAGATTCTAATGGAAGCGCAGGGTGACAAGATCAGTCCTCTGGTGACCAACCCTGGCCGTATCATGCTCACATCATCACGACTCTACTTCCAGCCTTTCAATAACATAGAAAGTGTAAGCTGTAATTTTACAAAGTTTAATGAATTAAGTTCTTTGATAGTATAGATAGTCTAATTTATCTTTCATCACCATACAGATGAAGTTTTTTCTATCAACATCGCAGAATTTGTCTTTTACAGCACATCTATTTAGTCCAGTTTGTTCTTAAGCTATGTTTCATAAATATCACATGATATAATGATTGTTGTCTTTGTTACAATGTATGCGACATGGATTAGTACTACATACTAGAAACTGTACGTACTGAAATCCAAGGGTTATACAGTTGTAGAATCACACAACGTTACACAATGGATGATATGTATGTCAGTGTGTACACAAAGTTTGGTCCATTGTGTGCTATCACATCTGTATCTAACACCTGCATCAACACAGCAATATTTGGACCATACTTGTAATACTTTCCTTTGATAACCCTAATGCAGAGGACCAGGTCACAAGTAAAACTAATTTAAATCTGTTCTATGGATTGTAAGATCTAGGACTTCGGTGTCTGAAAATAAAATGTTGAACTTTGTATAAATCGTTTGTATAGATCATTATTAGTTATCAATTATAATTTGATTCTGTTTTACTCTCAGATACACTAATCTTGCAGTGAACAATTACAGATTGAGGATCAAACAGTTGTTGCTCATTATGTTGAGGTGCTTCTATAGGTACATTTTGTACATACAGTATGTTTTAGATATTCTTATTTAGAAAAAGACAAAATACATGTTCTATCTTATGTTTGAATCCTCTTCGCTTTAGGTGCCAGTCATTAAGATAAGATTGAAAGACTTGAAGCGAGTGATAAAAAGACGATTTCTCCTCAAACAGCTGGTTTGTAAACATCTTCATTATTTTCATAAAATCTGTTTTTACTTTAATATAAAGTTGCCTTTTTCTAATGCTTTGTTACTGATTAAAGTGATGAGTGAGACATAATAATTTTCAGACTTACATCAAGTAAATCATACAGTAATAATAATATCATACAATGATAAAAATGTAGTGTAATTTTTTCAGGGTATAGAAATATTTTGTCAAGAAAATTCTTCCTGCCCTCACCTTTACTTGTCTTTGAAGACTGCAGATGAACGCAATGAATTATATGCACATATAATGCAGCAAAAAGGTAGAGTTTACATTAGCATGTATTGAACACTTTGCATTTAGACCTCTTTCATAGTCAGTTATGGTTTTATGATGCATTCTCTTGTTTTTTCTTGGAGGATCTGTGGTCTATCATAGAAAAAAATCAAGTGAAATTGTGATGAAAAAATTATAACAGAAAGCAATGAAATTGTGTAAACTAAAAAAAATAAAAATTCTGACATATTTGAACTGATATTGACTTGTCTTTTGTATATTTTGGAAGTTAATTGTATGCTTTATAAACATTATGACATATGAAGTCATCATAGCATTCATGCATGGGAACTGTGGGTTATGAAAGCATTTCAGTGTTTCAGTACAGTGATCGTTTCTTTTAAGATGTTAAGTTAGAAGATACTGGACAAGAAGACATGACCTTACGCTGGCAGAATGGAGATATATCAAACTTTGACTATCTAATATATCTGAATAGGTAAGTCAGTGATAACAAGTTCAACACTATCTAAAATATCTGAATAGGTAAGTCAGTGATAACAAGTTCAACACTATCTAATATATCTTAATAGGTAAGTCAGTGATAACAAGTTCAACACTATCTAATATATCTAAACAGGTAAGTCATTTATAACAAGTTCAACACTATCTAATATATCTGAATAGGTAAGTCAGTGATAACAAGTTCAACACTATCTAATATATCTAAACAGGTAAGTCATTTATAACAAGTTCAACACTATCTAATATATCTGAATAGGTAAGTCAGTGATAACAAGTTCAACACTATCTAATATATCTTAATAGGTAAGTCAGTGATAACAAGTTCAACACTATCTAATATATCTAAACAGGTAAGTCAGTGATAACAAGTTCAACACTATCTAATATATCTGAATAGGTAAGTCAGTGATAACAAGTTCAACACTATCTAATATATCTAAACAGGTAAGTCATTTATAACAAGTTCAACACTATCTAATATATCTTAATAGGTAAGTCAGTGATAACAAGTTCAACACTATCTAATATATCTTAATAGGTAAGTCAGTGATAACAAGTCCAACACTATCTAAAATATCTTAACAGGTAAGTCAGTGATAACAAGTTCAACACTATCTAATATATCTGAATAGGTAAGTCAGTGATAACAAGTTCAACACTATCTAAAATATCTTAATAGGTAAGTCATTTATAACAAGTTCAACACTATCTAAAATATCTTAATAGGTAAGTCAGTGATAACAAGTTCAACACTATCTAATATATCTGAATAGGTAAGTCAGTGATAACAAGTTCAACACTATCTAAAATATCTTAATAGGTAAGTCAGTGATAACAAGTTCAACACAGATTGCCCTAATTCTTCTCTTGTAATGACAATGAAAGAGAAACTATATCCAGCCCTCGAAGTTACACCTATTACTTACTTCAGAAGTTACCTCCTTTTTGTAAAACCGAATAAGAAGTAGGGCAAAGTTGAAAATTTGTATTTATATTAGAAAGTGCTTTAGATTCATATGCATAAAATCATAGATTTCTTGCATTCAACAAGTGTTTTTTAGCAATATCGTGTGTATTAATGAAACAGGTATTTTGTGTTGTGTTAACCGTCAGGATCATATCTGTACTACTAATGATTATTCACTGTATTGTGGGTGTACATTTCTCTCCTAATTTCACCAGTGTTGCTGACCGCAGCTTCAGTGATTTAACTCAGTACCCGGTGATGCCCTGGGTCATACAAGATTACACAAGTTCACATCTAGATTTGTCCAATCCAATGACATTTCGTGATCTCAGCAAACCTATTGGAGCTCTGAATGAAGAAAGAATATCAAAAATGAGGGTAAGATTTCAAAATGTTTGTATACTGTTGTGTTATTATGTTCTTTATCTTTCAACATTCTACAAGATTGTGGTTTCAAATAATGATGTAGAGAAAGATAAGAAAGAAGTGACATGTATAAATGTCTGCTTATAACTTTTGTTTTCCTTCACAGTCATCATGTACATTTTATATTAAATCCTGAATATTCATCGTCACCAATGTTAAATTGTTGCATTTAGTTTAATTCTAAGAAGAAATAAGTGATAAAATATAATAAGTGGATTATATATGATTTACTTAAATGTTCAAGAGAGTTAACATGAGACAGTATGTCACACAATGTATCAATCCGTCTTTAAGATGATTGTAAGTAAAAATGTTCATGATTGTTGCTGAAAACTAAAACTTATGTAATTGATTTGTCTCTTTGTCAGGAGAGATATGCAGAAATGCCAGAGCCCAAATTTCTATACGGATCCCATTACTCCACACCTGGATATGTTCTCTTCTATCTCGCTCTCATAGGTAAACACCATTATTTATAATTAAAAAAGGCATTATTTTTATCTGTAAAATAAATCATTGTAATAATCAGTCGTATTTAAATGTTGAAGCAAGTGTCATCTGAAAAAATGGTCTCAAATAATCATGTCTATACATGTACATAGTGTTATCTTTGCAATAAAAACATTTTTAATGTTAAACATGTTGAATACTATTTTCAAAAGCTCTTTATTTAAGACCAATTTCAGAGGAAAAATTTCATTACAGCTCCAGAATATGTCCTCTGCTTGCAAAATGGAAAGTTTGACCAGCCAGATAGAATGTTTAACAGGTGTGGTAATTTTTTTGATATTCTTGTTTGTTGAACAATGGAATCATAATGTAACTGTTTTTTGTTTTGTTTTGTTTTTTAATTTTTTTGCATCATTGATTTTTTAATTTATTTCACATAGAGATTATAAGTGTGGCCACACTGACTAGTATGTAGTTTTAACAGACTTTTTGATTATCAGTTGTTTTGTTTAATTATTAAAGTTAAGGTATATCATTGTTCAACTTAAACACTTCTCAAACTTATCAGCAGTTAGTACTTATATTCAGTAATATAGGTATGAACATGTTCTTGACTTGAATTTATTACTTTGTCTTTTGACAATAATAAGTTGTATCAATAAAACCACTGCTGTGAGTTTCTTTTATAGATACATGTAAAGTCGTAATTATTACCGATTAATAACACAGTCTTAAAATATTGCTTAGAACAGCAATTGTTTTACTAGTACTTCAAATTTAGAATCAGTTCAAAGTGGATAATTGTTTAGTCTGTTGATATCTAAGATTAAGGCTTTATTCAATTTGAAAATTTTTTACAGTGTGTATGAAACATGGCAGAATTGTATGATGGGAGCTGCTGACTTCAAAGAACTCATTCCAGAATTCTATTCTCTTGGTTCTCCAGAGTTCCTCCTGAACAATGGGGTAATTCTTTTTTACATTTACACTGAATTTCATTATATGTTGATGCAAATTTTGCTCTTGTAAAAGATATGTAACCATACGTTGTTTAAATTCAAAATCACAGTTAATAAATGACTTCTTAACTGTGTTTTGAGTATCTGTAGATAAACATGTATAAATATTAAACATGCAAAATATAATCTTATCAACTTTTATTTTGCATCAGGTAGCAGTTTAAGTGATGAAAGAAACAAATTTCTCTTCATCTTTTCTTATTATAAAACAACTTGTTTCTTGTCAGTTGAGTAACTTTGGGATAAGACAAGATGGCCGACCTGTGGGCAATGTAGAACTGCCTTCCTGGGCTGAAGGTTAGTGGGAATGAAATCCTTGTTAGAGTTCCAATATTTCATAACCTTTAAAATACTTCTTAAATAGGAAAAAACTGTATTGGTGTAAATAAAACCACTTAAGCACTATTTATCAAGATCATGAACATGTACAAATATGTGTTACTTTTACCTTAGCTTTCCATGTTCATGACAATGTACTTTCTTGTCATGTTATTTTTTATTAAAATTTCTCCACATCCAAAAATCTTTCAGCAGCTCTCATTCAGCTTAAAACTGCATTCAGTAGTCCTTTGCTAATTTGCCAAATTACATGTTCATCTTGTTGGGTCAGCCTTCACATAGACATCTTATTAATGCTCAATCAGGGCCTGAGGATTTCCTACGGAAACTGAGAGAGGCCCTTGAGTGTGAACATGTATCAACTCACCTCCATGAGTGGATCGACCTTATTTTTGGATATAAACAGCGGGGTTATGAGGCAGAAAAGGCTGACAACGGTATGTGAACAGGATAATTTCTATCATCTAATGTTGATATTCTTGTTTGTACGGATATAAGTGTTCAGGAATCCTGTGATTGTAAAAGTAATAACAGCTCTATGAAAACAACTTTAGCTGTTACACCTCTGTTGGAGTACATATCAGCTGTTTTGTGTGTTGTAGTGTCTGTGCTGTGCATACTCAGATGGTATAGTGTTCTAAAAGGAAAGCTTTTGGAAGAACATGTAGTCTCACAGCAAGTTGAACTTAACACAAAAGTACTGGTATCATGTTGGCTCACATTTATATGGTATAGACATATTTGTGATGATATACAGCTTGACTTATATAAAAAATTGAAATTCTCATTACATGTAACTTTCTCTTCCAGTGTTTTACTTCATGACATATGAGGGCAGTGTTGATCTTGATAGGTAAGTCTGTATATGCAATTTAAACTTTTACAGGTAATTTCTAAGTTGATAAAAAACTTTTTCAACAAAATGGTTTTTAAATCTCAAATTCATAATTAAGTTATAATTTGAATTATAACTTTAATTTTATCATCACCAAAAGTATACCAGACCCAAATGAGAGAGCACGCATGGAGATACAGATTATGGAATTTGGCCAGGTACCAAAGCAGGTATTTAATACACCCCACCCACAGAGATTTACCTCCCCTCCCCCACGGAGTGGCTCAAGCCGTACATCCAGTACTAATGAAGGGACAGTTCCAGTGACATCAGACTCCATCTCAATGCCCACAACTTTAAAAGGTAGAGTATGGCTGTCTGATTTAGCAGAGCTAGTATTTCACGGTAACAACTAACTCACATGGATAAAATTTCAAAGAATGTTGCCTTTTAACAAGAAGTAGGAAAAACATGTCTGAAGGCTAAAATATAATATAAAATCTGGTCTCACTTTTGATGGACAGTTGGGTCTCAAACAAATAGGAACGTTTACTCATCCATACAACCGATTTGGAAACCATCATTACTAAATATATACATCTACTTTTATCATTTTGATGTTCATGTATACAGTTCTTTTGGATTCAAAAGTCATTATGTTGTTAAAAATCAGTGTCAGAAGAGGACAAGACTGCAAGCACCAGTGACGTATCACTGACAGACTTGGCATCTCTACAGTTGTACCACAAATATACCCTGCACAAAGAGTGAGTACTTCCTTACAGTTGTGACTTTGCATTTTCCTTCAACCATATATCATATGATGATTAACAGCATCACAATTTCTTCATAAATTGTTTTATGCCAAAGTTATTTTGAAGTTTGTTTAGAATGTGTCAAATGATTTCATAAAGAGTGGGGCATCATTTAGGTGACATTTTCTACACTGATGATGTTAAGAATTATTGGAAATGATTAAGGTGTTTCTCTAATCTCATTCCTTTTCATCTCTACTTTGATTTTAATGCAGGAAGATTTTTAATTAATTTTTTTAATGTTTATTTACAGTGGTGTATCAGATGTTAAGTTATCCAGTGATGGAAAAAACATATTTTCTGTTTCACAGGGTGAGTAGACTTACTCAGTTATACACTAACAGATTTATGCTGCTGGTTTTACTTTGATATTGATTTGTATAATGCTTTAATCAAAACATTGGTCAGTCTTATTTTCATTTCCTTTGTAAAAAAAACTCAAAAAAGGTATTATTTTATTTATTTGAGAGTATCAGTATGACACAGATTTGATTGTATTTACAATAAAATGTTCTGTTTTTAAGATAGCCTACTGAAGATGTATTCACTGGAAGACCAGCGACAGCTTAGGAGTATCAATATTTCCACTATGGTAGGTTGGTTTTTTTTCAAAGTCTGTAGAACCAAAATTTTCCCAAATTAATTTTATTCAAACCTTTTGTGTAATCATGTCAATTATCACAGAAAAACTAGTTCATGTTCTTCAATTTTTGTGTAGTACATACTTTATGGACAAGCTCTGGTATGAATTTTTTGCTGCAAAATAATTTTATTTGCAAGGAAAAGGGAGAAAACCTGTCTAAACAATTATAAATTAGTTGAAGGTGTTATTGTTGACATTATTTGTGTTCCATAGTCTAATAATTTCATCAAGTCAATGTCATAGTGGCCATCTTATGACACAGTAAAAATGTGGGAGGTGCTGGAATCACTTGATACAATTGTGTTAATGAATTGTTATTTTTATCCTTTTAATGTGATTGGAATAAAATTTTAGGAAGTTAAGTAGTCATAATAATTATGTGGAACCGTAACTTATAAGTGCATTATCCTTTATCAGCTTTAAACAGTCTTTTATGCCTAGCTTTGAAGGATAAAACTTGGTGCAAATAGCTTCATAGATAGGCATGTACTGATTAGTATTAAAATATAGGAGCATAACTTTTGATTAATTATGGGTCCAGTAGCATTATTTTAATAGTATGCTGGAGAAATACCACTGAATGGTCATTAAAGAGTTCATGAACATATTAGTATTATGATAGTAATAGTTAGAAATTATAATAAAAAGATGTGACAGTAACAGAAAGTGTATCACTTAGATGGTTCACACAAACAATATGTATGATATACTGCTTGGTGATTATAGGCCCTGTCGTCCTGTCAGCTGATGCCAGATGATAAAACTATCATTGTAGGATCCTGGGACAATAATGTGTGAGTACATTCTCTTTCTTTATGTGGATTTTTATCAGCTTGAATTACATGTTTTTTTGGAAAGAGACTATTCTTTTATTCTTGTTTCAACCTAACAGTGAAGTAGAAAGTATAGATGGAATCTGGTGATTTGTTTGGTTTATTAGAGAAAAAGAGTGGCCAGGTGGTGTAGTGGAAATGCTTTTCCTTTTAATCTAGACTTTTGGGGGTTGAATTCCGTAAATGAAAACGAAAAGGTATGGGTGTCACCTGCCCGACCACAACTCGTATTGACAAAGTGTCCTGGTTTCCTCCCTCTAAGACCGTTTGCATGCTTCTATCTGGGTCAATAAGAGTGAATACATATAAGCTTATAATTTTTTTGTACATTGTAATTGTTGTAAAATATATAAAGTTGCTATCATCTTTGAGAAAAATAATTACCTTACTAATACAAACTACTTGCATTGATAAATCATTGTATGGTGAGTTATTTGGATGTCTTTAATGTGATTACATTTATTATGATCCTAAATTACAGAATATGATTTTTGTTTACAGCTACTTCTATAGTATTGAGTTTGGAAGGGTCCTTGATACATTGTGTGCTCATGATGATGCAGGTATATACACTAGACTGTATACCATCATACTGTTTGTATACAGGTTTCATCATAAATAGGAATTTCAGTAATGTTAAAAAAATTCATATATTGTTCTCTCTTTTTCTCTTTACTAAGTACATGTTTTTTGTTAAATTTGCTTTTCATGCCCTCATTTAAATTGCAACTCTTTGATAATTAATTAGCAAAATAAAAACTAGTTTTCTTTCTAGTTGACATGATGAAGTAGGGTACAGATTACTATACCTCCTTATCCATGGCTATATAATTCATCAGATGTTGTGTTGTTGATTATAATTTTCAATCGTTGTTTTCAGTATCTAATATACTTTGGAGCAGCAATAAATTGCTAACAGCTTCCTGGGACTCGACTGTCAAGGTAAGTGCTTGGACTACAATGTCAAGATCAATATTTAAATCAGGGTGTCAATATCTGTTACTGAATTAGAGTGTCAAAGTTAACATCAAGTTAAGACACTTGACAAAAATCAAGGTCGCAATGTTTGTGCATAGTCTTTTATGGAAAGATCAACATCTTAGTCGCAAACTAAGGTTATTGGAACACAATGTCAAGGTCATTTTCAAAATCATATTCTGCACATGTCTTAAACTAAATAGCTAAATTTGTTCACGGGTAAGAAGTGAAAATTAATTAGAAATATTTTGTTATGTCCATTGTAATATATTTTATCATTATATGAAGATAGGAGTCTAATTGATCAAAATGTGATAAAAAGGGATTTTCAAATTGCACTCAGAATATTTTATTTCCAAAATCATCAATGCAAGAAGTAGTTGTAGTGTTTTTAAGTGGCACTTAAATGATTATGTTTCCATCATATCTCACTATTGTTACAAAGTGGTAAATCATATGTTTTTTTTGATTTTACTGCATTTATTAGAAAAACATTAAATGTTGAAACAAATTTAACCTTGTAGATCTGGAAATTCATCCCTCCAAGTGCATCAACCCCTTTTACAGTGGCTGAGTATGCGGTAAGTATAGAATCATTTTGAAACTGAATAAGATATTTAGAAAGGTCTATATTAAAACACTCCATTTGTCTGAAATAAATCTGATGTGATAAACTTAAGGTCTGCGACTCCTTGTGATAGATGGGTTCAACTGTTGTACATCAATCTTTATGTCTGATAATGCATTGGTTGACAATACAGCAAGTATAATTTGATAATAACGCTATATCAAAATATGTGTTTGACTACATCTCCGGTAATAATGCAACCGGTTTGATTTGATAATACATTAAAATGTATATTTGACAGTATCTCTGTTGACATCACAACATATATAATGTGATAATCAATCTAGCTCTTTGCAGTATAGCTTTATCAATACATCTGGTGACAATACAAACAGTACTTTATTCACCAATAGTTCATTTCTCAATCTTCCCCTACATTTTAACAGGAAGTATAATCTTTTTGAGAATTCATCCAAGTTAAAATTAACTTCATTATGAAATATTAAGTTTGGAAATACTTGATGTTGCCGTAAATCAAATTATGGATAGATGGCTGCATAACTACTATACATTTACCAGGGCCAGCTGGACCATGATGCTGGAGTAAACTGCCAGTCCACTGATGAGGGACTCTCTCTCCTGGTTACTGGGACAATAGAAGGACATATCAATGTCTGGTCTATCTCCAGTGGTTATCAGATAGCTTCCCTCGAAGGTGAGGACAGCAAATAGAATAAGAATGTGCATTTGAAGTATACATCACCATCAAACAGAGTTATATGGTTAAGCCTTAGATGCATACTCTTGTTTGGTAGATCTTAAGTTACTGCATACTTAAATACAGATTTGTGTTTCTTTCATTCTGGGTAATGTCCCTTTATTCTAAAGATAATTTTTATCTTGAAGGTATATCATCTAGCAACAATAATTACTTTAATTTTTCTTCATTTTGTGTTTTCAGTTCACAATGGTAAAGTCAATGATGTTACTCTAAGTCCAGGTTTGTTACATTTTTATAACTGTAATGATACCATTGATATAAAATAAAACTAGACAAAGTTTTCATTAAGGAATATTTATAACCCTGTTTTTATCATTCTATAACCACCCCTCCTCATTATGTGGACCAATCTTTTGCTTTGGTACTTTTTCTGTCTCTTTAAGATAGCTGGAGTTGTTGGTGATCAACATGTACATCAATAATTATGCCTTTATAATAACATAAATTGGTGTTGTTTTTTTCCTTCTGAGTGATAAGTATTACTTCTGTCACAACAGACTGCCGACGTATATTGAGTTGTGGAGATGACAACATTCTGCGTGTTCTTGACTTGGAGACAGGGACAGAAATACTGGTCAGGCACCTGCAGACACAGTGCATGTAAGGCTAACAGATTCAAATTCGTATATGATATAATGTAAATACAATTCACTGATTTTCTTCTTTTACAAGTAATCATTAGTTGGAATGTTTATATGGCAAACCCAGATTACTGTTCACAGTTGTATTTAGCAATGATTAAGATTTTTTGGGGTTTAGCAAAAGTCTTTAAGCAGATAGGATGTTTTTTTCACAGAAGGCATGAAACACTTTATGGATATATAATGAAGTTTACAAGATGTTGTTCTACCACTGTTTTACCGCACCTCTTCCCAGGAATATAAAACTGGTTGGAATATTTCTATTACAGGTGTTTTAAGTGGATTGGTGGTCTTCTGCTGACTGGTGAAGCATCTGGAAGTATTCAACTATGGGATATGGACAAAGGTCAAATAATTAGCACACTACCTGCACATACTGGTATGTATTGTCATTATCAACATAATACTCAACATATTTGAATCAGAATCAGCACTGCAGATGTCCTCTATTGAAAAATGCTGTTTGATTTTCTGTAAATTAAGTTAAATTCATAAAAAAGTGTACTGTTGATTTATTTGTTTATATAATATTATCCAAACATATCACTTTGTGGTGTGTTTGTGTAATTTAACAAATTTAAGCTCTTCACAAAGTGTTTCAATAGCTAATACTGAGAAGGTAAAATATCTATTTGAACTCCAATTTACACAGGGACTTATCACATGTATGCTTTTATCCTGCAGATGCTGTGACGTGTTTGGATCTGAAGAACAAGAGCTTATTGATGGCTGGACAGGACAAAACTGTTAGTATGTGGAAGATTCAGCAGTGATTCTTTCTGTGCAAAATCAGTGCTTTTTTGTTCCCTGAAGAATTTTATCTCCGTGATAAAAGGAGAATGCTAGCCAATTGTCAGAACTAAAATTGATTCATTCAAGTTCTGACCATAGAATTACTAAAACTCTAACGTGCCATATTTGACTTCATGCAAATCACGATGTGACAGCTTTATCGCTTCTGTTGCAACAACATGAGATTTTAACACAAGATTTATCAGCTGACATGTTTCCTAGCATTATAACTATAGTTTAACTAGTTGTGAAGTATGCATGACAAATACAAATCATTGGGAAATCTGTATGGAAGGATACTTTTACTAACAGAAACTGGAATTTTCCGAGACACCAGTGATTCTCCATCCCTTCCCCATCAAGTGGTTTTCTGCGGCCAAGTAGTACTTACTCCTGCAGTGAACCAAGAGAAATTTGAAAGTGTTTTGTGTTCTGGTTTATAAATTTTGGTTTCTGAGAATTGCACTGACTGATCTACATCTGAGGCCTAGCTGTTGAAGTACAATGGATTGAACATCATGTGCCTTGTCTGTCTGAGATAAAATTGAGAGATTTGTTGGTTATTGAATACACTTAATTGAGGGCTTTTGGTTGAAAAAAAAAATGCTGTGAACTGGTGTCTTTTTTCATTTTGTTTTTGAGTTACATATTTAAATTAGAGAAGTACTATTACAAAACGTTGTATGCAATCATTGGGACTAGTGAAGTGAGAGCTAGATGGTCTTATATTTTCATAGAAGTAAACAAAATACCCAGTGAGATTACTGTGATTTGAAATGAGATAAGTCTGAAGCATTGAGTCAGTATGCCTTATCTCAAGATATATATTTTTTCAGTAATTACCAGCCTTGCATATATCTTATAAATACTGTATTTATCATTTATGACAATGACTCATATTATGTTTTATTACTGCAGTTTCTGATTATAACAAGCTGATGACTGACTATATCTGAACTGTTTTATGTGATATTAAATGTCAAAAATTCTATTGGTACATGCATATTTATTTTCAAATTTGAATGATGGAAAGCATCATTAATCATGATGTACATCTAGACTGTATGAAAGGTTGGATAGAACAGGTTGGGACTCTCAACAGAGTTGCAGAGAACCAGCATCCTGGTTCTCTTCTATCTTAGATCGTTTCTTGAAGGAATCACAGATGGGTACCCAACAGCATTCAATAAAGCCCCATCACAGAAGGTATAAATACAAAGGATATGAAATATGGAGGAGCCTCATCATATATTGGTGTTCCATCTCCTGTGTCCCTTGTAATATAAACATATTGATAGCTTTGTGTATGGTTTTTGTTTTGATGTGTGATATAAAGGTGTTTATAATTCTGGACTACCGAGATAGTTAATGATGCCTAGGACACTTCCTCAATACTGATGTGCTCATTACTTGTTTTTGGTGCTGGATGAAAAGTGTACACATGTACAGCTAACATATTCAAACATTGAACACTGCTTTTAGTAGAATTTTTTTTGTATAAATCATCATGTGAAAATGAAGTGGGACTACCTGGATGCTTTCTGATAATTGTCTCCCATTGATGATATGTAACAAGTACATTTACTTACTTTATTATACGATATGATAAAAGACAAATGTACAGGTATCAGGTCTACAGGACAGAAAGTCAAGACTTTTGATGCTGTGAGACATTCCAACTTAAACTTGATGTATTAACGACAAAGGATGTTAGATGTGATGTCTGATGTATTTCATGAGTTTGGAACATTTATGGTGTTACATGTCCCACGACGTGCCATTGTATCATGTGAAGAGAGAAACAATACAACAGCACCAAATATAGAAAAATTACATCGATATGAATACTCGTTCATAGAGCAGTCATTTTTACTACAAATATTCATTAACTCATGAAATTAACTTAGCTTCATTTTGAAAATGAACCTCTCCCAATCTTCTTATCCTGTATATTATTGAAAGCATATTTTGTGTGTTGTATATGTTATATATAATATGCAAAAGCAAACCCATTACATTGTAATTATCACTATATAGACATATGGGTCTCTGAAGATGCAAAAGTTTAAAAAAATTATGTTAAGCCGTAAATTTGAAAGTTACTTAAATACATGTATGTATGTGCTCCACATTTTCATATCTAAGACTGTATTCTAGTCATTTGTTGTACAATACAGGGTTCCATTACACATTCTGATCAGGTTGGCAGAATGTTGTACAATACAGGGTTCCATTACACATTCTGATCAGGTTGGCAGAAATGGATGCATATCACATCAAATTGAAATATTCCACATAACCAATGTCTTTCATTTTGTCAAAGTGATGTTGGATATCTTGAACAATACATCTTGATGAATTCTTATATTATATTGAGGAAATGTCGTGGATAAAAAACACTTACTTTAGATGCATTGCTTTTTAACTTCAGATTAATGTTTCAAGTGATAAAAAAATTACAGCGATCTATTGCATATCATCTCTGAAAAATATCTCAAATGAAGGATGTTGATTGCACAGATGTTTTGATGGTATTATGATTAAGTATATAGGAGCATCTACATTAGGATTCCATTGTTTATAGTTTACATATTTTAGCTCAGCTAAGGGTACACAAAACTCTGTCAACCTAAAAATCAAAGAAAACTGATACACCAAATTCATATATTTCAAATCTGTGAGTAGCAGTGATAATTCATGAAGAGTTCTACCCAAGACTTACAGAATTACAATGTATACCCGAGATATACTTTTTGTGCCCGAGCAATGGAAAAACTTTGAAATTCTTAAAACTCAAAACCGAATGTAATTCAGAAGCAAAATTTCAATGAAATATCATTTGGCCAAAGGTAAAAAAGTATATGAATATCCAAAATTTCTGAAATGTTATGTCAGAATTTATTTTATATTGATTTTTGTCCTACTTTTGGTAAAACATGACCCATACATCCTTAAGGTAAAAAAGTCTCCACATATATTGTGATGTTCAGGTGAGCAATTTTAATATTATTTTATCCATGATATAGTTCATCAATTAAAACCCCTGATTCACTTATTTTCAAATGAGAGAGAAAGAGGGAATGGGGTGGTAAGACCATTTAGGGATTGGGAGGGTAGATGTTTGATTCTTGCCAAATATTTTACCAGGTCTTCCACTGGGGTTACCTCATTTATGAAATATCAAATCTTTCTTCAGGTCTAGTAAATTTTGTCATAACATGCCATGTTATATTTTGTTTTTATATTTGGTAAGAGGCTTGTTGTGGATTTAAAGTTTTGAAGTATTCTGACTTGTGAATGTATGTTATTTGTAGGAATGAATTTTCAACACTGATTAACATGTACTTGGAAACAGTGGAATTTGCTTTAGCATATGTGAAGATTTACAATAGATATATACTTGATATATTAAAAAGAATCACTACTGTATACATTTATTGGGTATGTAATATATTGTATTATCCACTTGTTATGATGTACAACATGTATTTATGCTTGTTTTACTTATGGAAACATGATACTCAAACTTCACAAACATGTCTCAGACATAAAATTACAAATAAGGAGACTTACATGGGCTATTTACTGAGAAAAAAGATGCATTAAGGAGACACTGAGTTTGGAGTAGTTGCAAATCATAGTTGAAAGTTAATAATGTAACCATATATTTTTAATTTCATGACCATATTTGGTAGTTATTATTTTAATGAATTTTGCCCTAAATTGCAGATTAGAGAAGTTTTCACTGAGAGAAAATGGTATATACTAATAGATTATTTAGGTGCATCATTGTACCTGTAGTTGACGTATGTTTAATGAAACAAATGTGTTAATGATGTTTAGCTTTAAGCGAATTTTGGATTATTTTTATACATGAACATCATATAAACTGTATGGATTTAAATAAACATGTGTTAAACAGCCTATACTTAGGAACTATTCAGTAAATCAAATGTCAGAAATATATTTTTATATTGTAACCTTTTTATTTTGTTACATATTTGATATTCCATTGTTCAAGTACTATTTAAGGCTGTCTGAAGATCAGATTCAAACAGAATATATGATAGATAATTGGAAAATCAGATATTTTAAACTTATGTATGATTGTTCTGAGCAAGCCAAACTTGTTCATTCATTGATCATCTTTAAAATTATAATCAAAAGTACGAAATTATTTCCATGCAAGTCGCCATTGTTTAAGTTGTTGTGTTATAGCAAAGTATTGCTTTTGATTTTTAATGCTTTTTGCAATACAAGATGTCTTTGTGAGCAGGGATGTACTAAAATTTATCTAACATCCATCACTTACATCAACGGATGTTGAAATAAAAGCAGGACTCATGAAAAAAATGCTGACTTTCTTATTACTAACACGGAGATGAATGTCAATGACCTTGTTCAAAACCAACTGATACAAATGTTTGACAAGCACTTATTGAGGCAACACTCAACTTGATAAATGACTCGCTATATGTGTGTGATCAATGTCGACTTTCCTATCTCTGTTATCTATTGCTATTATGCAAATTTCTAGTTATATTTAAATATGAACTAATGGTGAACTAATGGTGAACTACTGCTCTGGTTTGAAGGCTAAATGCAGTTACATCAGCATTGTTTGTGTGAAACACTCCTTCATGTGTTTGATTCTATAGGAAGACTTATAGTAAAATAAATAAAGGATATCAATTTCACTAACTACAAAAGACTAATGGTTTAAAGCCTAAACAGTTGAATGAGTCATAGCAGAATTTTTTATATTATATGAGAATTCAGAAAATTTTCATATGGCAAATTTAACCTTTACAAATACAACAAATGTTGAATATGAATTTGTTTGAGAAAGGCAAGATGATTCTATGTGTTGGCTGTTGTGAAGCTGATGTTTTGAACAGGCAAGTGCAGGTAACTTCAATAAAAATAAAAGTCAGGTGTGACTAGAGATAGTTAATAATGCTAAGATTTATTTTTAAGGGAATATGTTCTGAAATCTAATTAACATACATTGAAATTTATTTACATGGACCATAGGAAATATTGTTTCGAAACAAATCTAATTACTCAGATTTCTTTGTTTCCAAATCAAAATTTCTTTCCATAATCTGCAGTTTTGATTTCCTGGACAAAATACGTATGGGTGTCCCCTGCCCATGTGGATTTCCCTCAGGTATTCTGGTTTCTCGTATGAAGAGTTGTTTTTAGATGATACATGTCACAGGGACTTGGCACGAATTCCAAACTTACGGTCCAAATATATGTCACAAGGGTTACTCCCAACAAGGGAAAATTGTGCATATCTTTATATATATATTATATTTTTTATTATATATATTCTAAGGGCTCTAAATCCTAGTAACACATACATTACCTTATATAGAAATATTTCATATCTCCATTGAGTGTTTGATGGACGAGACGGGAGAAGTATTGACTAAGTTATGACCTAGCAATGGTTATACGTTTCCTCGTCTAGTTGAAACGTCTTGCCGTCTCCCCATAGGTTGGGAATTAAGTCCCTGTTGTACATGAATTAACTTGCCTCAGTTTATATCTATAGATAGTCTTTGTTGTCTGATAACCCTTTAGTAGTTGGAATTTTACAGTATTGTCGCTTAGGATTATAAAACGTCATATATTTTACTTTAGCTAATGATATCAGCAAGACTTGCTTTATGCCTTAGAGGTCAAAGGTTAGTAAGGATGACTTTGTTATACACCAGTGATGTTATGTTTGTTGTCAGGTTAAATTATACTTACGGTCATCAGTCAAGTATGTCTCCTATCGCTATTTTATCATCGGTAGATATTCATATATATATATATATATATATTGATAATTTCGTCAAAAAAGTTTGTTCAGTAACATTAAAGAGAGACGATATTACACCATTCTATAGCAATAGTTATCTCTGAAATCAGTGACCATGTGTACCTATATCCCCGGCGATGTTACAGGTATCCCTGATCCTTAGATAAAGTACAGATGTAGGTCAGCTGCTTTTCCGTAATTGCATTGTCAGCTTCAAGGTCGATCGTGAAAACAAATATACTTTATAATTTTCTCTCGAAAGTGAAGCTTTGCTGTTTTCTCGTCTTATTGGCATCGCATCATATACGTCGATATTTTCAGATATCAGTGGAACATTACTGGATACGAGATACGTTGATGATGCGTTAATGATCCCAGTTAAATCGTGATGATACATCCAGTTATCTGTTCCAGTTATCCTGATCTAGATCACCGAGGGATCTAGGAGTATCAGCATTTTTATTGAACGTCCTATTTACGTGATTTCTATTATGGCAAATAAAAATTCATTCAATGTAGACATTTTTCCACTCTGACTTGCTATCAACATTGATTAAAATGATATTTATAGTTAAGTAAGCTTGATACAACATTACGATAATGAAACCCAATTATTTGCAACACTTTTATTCTGTATACTTTTGAAACAATGAATTCAATATATTTTCAGATATCAACACAGAATTCCACAATGTTGCTATGCCTTATAAAATATAACACATACATCTTTGGCAAGTTACAATACACTTTCTATATTAGTATTGCAGATTAAGAGCAGATAACAAGCTGTACGAACTGCAATATATTTCACTAGAGGGGTTTGATACACTGGCTTGTAATCTACACCGTAATCTTTATCAAATTGAATTCGATGAATACTTTCGTTTCAGAATAATTTTTGAATTCATCAGTGTTGCTGATCTTGGTAGTTATAAGTCAAACCTCTTTATCTCGAATTCGCCTGGACTGTGGGAAAACTTGGAGTTTTACAAATATTTCATTTAAGTAAGTTCGAATGTTTCGTGTGAAGTTTGGCCGGGACCGACGAATGTTTTCGAATTATACAGGGTATTCAAGTAAAAAGAGTTCGAGGTATTCGACAACATCACCTATACGTGTATAGACGTGTGTCACGTGAAGTGTAATATCCTTAATAGGCCATTTGTCACATACAGAAATTAACTATCAATATAAATTAAGATAAACATGAAAACGAGAATGCTTGTGACCATGACATGGAAATAAAATCCAGGCACAAATCAAATTAAAACAACTGTTTTGTTGCTTTCTAAAAAACATCAGTAAGTTTAGAAAATTGTGAGCTCACAAATAACTTCTCACATTTTCCTCTTATCTCGATATTACTTCAATGGTTACAAAATACTATCATCAATATAACATACATACATTAAGATAACATTTACGACTTACAAAGATTGTGCAAAAACACAAGTGAAGGACACTTTTAAATACAAACTTAAGAGATAAATACGGGAGAGCCAAATAGTAATCAATCTGCATCATACAGCTGTTTCGTCCTTCTAGGACACGTCCTTGATGCTAAGGGCCTGAATTTTGAAGTCTTGGAGGCGACTGAGGAAAATCCAAAGTGATCGAAACAAAAATCAAAATCTAGACGGGGAGGTGTCCTAGCCCAATAATTGAATAAATTTGTTATTTTCACTTTGTAACTTGAATTAAAAAATGATGAACACGAAAGAATATGTCAAATACTCACAGATAATCAATATATGACATCGTGCAATGAAAACTCCGCAAATTTGAACAAAGTTCAACAAGAGCTGATTTGATAACAAAACTAATTACGTATTCACAAATAAAATAGACTATTTAGTCATTAACAGCGATGCAATGAATTAATGTGTAATACATGTATAAATATCGTTATGTAGTGGAGGTTTAACCATTCGTTGTCTCTGACTAGATCATATCAGCAATCCCCATCAAACACATTCTAACCGTATCACCACCACACAAGATAGTGGTTAGTAACTAACAATGTTGTCGTCGGAAGTAAACAGATCTTTAGGTTAGTCCTGAGATAGCTCAATGGAAGGAGTGCTTCATTAAAGAACGAACAATGAATATCCACACAGAACACGCTTTTCGTCCTGGTTTGTAATATACGCTTTCGTCTCGTACCGTCCCTGTAGACAAATAAGTATGATGCAATATAACAATTCAATAATTAATTGCTTACTAAGAAATCCATATCCAATTTGCAATATATATTTGCAAAAAGCAGTAAGATATATCAAATTTCCTTACTTTCTGATTTTGAAATGTTTTTTAAATCTCATCTAAAAAAATGAAAATTTTCTAAGCAGGTGTGTATCGTAACGTAAGACATCTTTACTTTTTGCACTCTACAATAATGTTTCATGAACTGCTGATATAATTCCGAATTCCTGACATATCTTATTGAGAATTTTTTCTCTTAATCTAACAATGTCACTGATGTAAACAAACAAATAGATTTCAATTTATCTGTTAGTTTCCCACTTTCGGTACTTCGGGAACCAAATAAAAACATATTTGAGTGAAGGGTACCATAGTAATTGTATATTGTTGGAGTATATCTTCAGCCACATATATAGATAATCATGCAAAATACAGAGAATTTCTTGAAACAAGAACTGTCTGTGACATTTAGTAGAAATTGACTTCGAACTCTCCGTGACATTTAGTAGAAATTGACTTCGAACTCTCCGTGACATTTAGCAGAAACTGACTAAGAACTATCCGTGACATTTCACAGATTGACTTAAAAGTATTTGTGACATTTAGCAGAGATTGACTTAAAACTCTCCGTGACATTTAGCAGAAATTGACTTCGTGACATTTACTCTCCGTGACATTTAGTGACAGAAATTGACATTTAACAGAGATTAACTAGGAACTCTCCGTGACATTTAGCAGAGATTAACTAGGAACTCTCCGTGACATTTAACAGAGATTGACTAAGAACTATCCGTGACATTTAGCAGAGATTGACTAAGAACTCTCCGTGACATTTAACAGAGATTGACTAAGAACTATCCGTGACATTTAGCAGAGATTGACTAAGAACTATCCGTGACATTTAGCAGAGATTGACTAAGAACTATTTTAAACTTTTTGACTAAGAACTATTTTTAACCTACCTTTGGAAGATAGCCAGGAATCTTTTTGTCCTTGACCCATGACCATTGAGCGTTAGCTTTATATGGACAGAAGATGAGCCGGTCTGGTTGCTGGTCGTCAAGTGTGCACATATCCCAGTGATTATCATATAAGTCCTTGTTATTATACTTAACTTCCAAGACAAATTCTCCTCCCGTGTAGTCTTCCTCTACAATATACAGTGCAAGCATCCTTCAGTTTTCTTAATGCATTCATGTACACATTATCAAATCAAAAATTACTGTTACAAAACACTGTTCTAAAATGTTTTTTATCATTTTACTCCATGCTTAGATAATTTGGTGTAGGCGAATTTGCCAAGAGGCAAGTGGCTGGTTTTGTCTAACCAATGTTTCTGCTGAAATGAATGAGTTATGTACTTGCGAAGTATAGACATCTCCTGTTTTAGTATTATTCCTTCTCCGGTGTAACAAAATTAAATCGATTTTTGGAGTACGAAAATAAGTTAGGAGGTCAAATGCACGGCTTACGAAATTGTTACATTTTTAAATAAGCTTTCTGCTAAATCAGAGATTTTCTTCCGTGTCTTCTATCACGGGGACATTGAAGAGACCAAATCTGCTACCCCATCGCTTTGGAATAAATTGACTTTTTTTATTGTCAGCTGTTTATTTCTATGCTTTGTTTTAAACTCTAGGTGCCAACCCAGACATCCTTTTTTTCATGACCCTGACTGTTGCAATGACGTTAAACTCCACAATCAAACCGTTCATGTCAAGTATACCAGAAGCACAGCACTGCCTTCGTGTACAAATTTCATCGACAAAGCGCAGTTAGTTTTCTCGGTACTGTATAAAGGAACCTTGGACGAGTCGAATTGTTATTTGTTGTTTTGTTATAAAACATAACTGTTATAGTGTAACCGAGTGTAATAAGTGATTCGTGACATATAGCACGATATCATACACAATGTGTTAGGTGTTAGTGTGTCGTAGTATGTAACCCGATCCTTGTGTCGTAATATTTAACTTGTTTTGTACACGATGTATTAGGTGTTAGTGTGTCGTAGTATGTAACCCGATCCTTGTGTCGTGGATTAAAACTTGTTTTGCACACGATGTATTAGGTGTTAGTGTGTCGTAGTATGTAACCCGATCCTTGTGTCGTAATATTTAACTTGTTTTGTACACGATGCATTAGGTGTTAGTGTGTCGTAGTATGTAACCCGATCCTTGTGTCGTAATATTTAACTTGTTTTGTACACGATGCATTAGGTGTTAGTGTGTCGTAGTATGTAACCCTATCCTTGTGTCGTAATATTTAACTTGTTTTGTACACGATGCATTAGGTGTTAGTGTGTCGTAGTATGTAACCCTATCCTTGTGTCGTAATATTTAACTTGTTTTGTACACGATGTATTATGTGTCAGCATGTGATAGTACCTAACGTGTTATTATCATTAACGATTTGTTAGTCGTGTCATGGTAACCAAGACGTTCCTCTAAACATTTCTATTACGGTATACCTAATTATTATTTGGTTGTATCTATTCTATTTACGAGGGCTGATTCGTAAGGTGTGAGCTTCATATTTAAAGTTTTGAATTTTGACGGACATATTGCATTGCTTTTCAACATTATCCTCTTCATTATCTTTACACTTTAGCCAGCAATGTTTAAGGGCCTCAATGCCACTTCTAAAGAAGTCGTTTTCTTGACCGTTCAGAAAGGTTTGTTTCAATTTAGGAAACAGATGAAAGTCTAATGGAGCAAGATCAGGCAAATAAGGCGGATGCTCAATCATTTCAAAGCCCTAGTCGTTAATGGCAGCCATGGCAATGACAGACTTGTGGACAGGTGCATTGTCCTGGTGGAACAGCACATCTTTACTGAGTTTTCCGCGGCGCTTGAGTTTGATATTCTCTTTAAACTGCCTAAGAAGTGATGCATAATATGTGCCATTGATTGTTTGTCACAACGTATCAATCAGCTCTCGTATAAGGGTTTATAACAATGGTTTACTTACCAAATGTAAAGTTTAAGAAAGTTCTCGATTTTATCCCTCCTTTCTTTTTATCTGGCAGCATTATCGTCTTCCCGACCAGTACTCTGTCACCTACCTCTGAAATACAAAGAAATTGTCTGTCAACAGGAGTGACTTTAACATTTCTGTACATGTACACAATTTAACGGTATGAATGCCTTAGTCTTTAAGACTGGCATTAGGTGAATTTGCAGCTATACATTCATGCATACGTTTAAGGATGCATGACTGAATTTTAACACTGCATTGTATTTAAAAAAAAACTCACTTGATTGAATATTTCAAAATGCATTTTTGTTTTTATGATACATTTTACCACCCTTGTTTCTTTTAAACAATAAACATGAACTATTTGATTTACAGGACGGACGAGTTGGTGAGTCTTTTATATTGACGTGCATGTAGGGTATAAAATGTCAGTTGGACTGTACAAGGTATAGCTAGCATATTAAGCTGGTATTATATACAGCTTTGTATTTTGAAGTTGTAATGTTACGAATCTATTTTGGATATTTAGCTTTCTTATTAGTAATTTTAGATAATTCTAGGAACACCTACAATGCTAGTGGGAAAAGGGGAATATTCCAAATTTCATATTGTGATCAGAACTTTATAATTTACCACAATATTAAAAGTAAAAGCAGCTTGATATGTATTAGGAAAATAATCATTTGATCATGTGTTGGAGACTTTGTCCCGAGGTACTTATGCAACATAAGTATATAATAACACCATGTACTCGGGGAACAACATTCTGGCTATTATTCTGCTTAAGAAAGTTCAAGTAGGTGACCGACATTTATTTCCCATTCAACTGTGTATCTATCACACGATACACTTACATGATAGATATTCACGTTTATCATCACTTACTACCTACACATAAAGACATAGAGAGCTATAATCTATTTACATGCTCTATCCACGAAATGATAGCTCCTATAGCACATGAACATGTTTGTTAAAGTGATACTACAGTACTGTCTTAACGACATGTTGTGGGGGGTGGGGGGTCTAAACCATTCATGGTAGGACAAGACAGAAGGCCTGAGAACCTTCAGGTCATTCGATGTTTGTAGACTTGGTATTTGCTATTTGGATTTTTTTTCGTTATCCGCACGCAACCTTCAACTTTGGAAGTTGTAATTTTTATAATTACCGCGTTTTTTGTTATCATCACATGATGTTAAACACACAGTTGACAAAGAAATGTGATCGGTTTTTTATTAACGATATACACTTGGCTTGGTTTCACTTATCTCACAATATTTATCGGCTGTTAAACCTCACTGGATGAATATCGAACTATACCCTTTTTCAATATTATACCACTTTTCTAGTTCTGTCCAGAAGAATAGTGCAGCCACTGTCATTTAGACCTTATTTGATAATGTATGTATGTATGTGTGTTTGTATGTATGTATGTTTGTCTGTAAACCACGATATCATTGTCAAACAATTCCAATATATCAAATAATTAGACATATACAAGAAGGGGTTTTATATTTTGCCCCAGTCTCTTGGAATTGAGTTTGAATTAAGGTTATGTTAACGTGTCATGATTTTCTTTATTTTGTTTGCCTAAGTTCTTTTTATATTGTATTTATCATGATGTTGGATATTCAGTAGTATGTACACACTTACCACAGCCACTGTAGAGATCGCCTATAGACACATAATTGTTTGCCTTTATAAAATCATCCCATAATTTCTTCGACTCCACAAAGTCTGGATTATCTTCATCCTTGATCACTTCATCGTCACCCCCGTCTTCCTCCTCGCCAATATCTTTTGATTCGTCTCTTTTTGTGAGACGCAATTCCTTGTCATCGTTTGACGATTCAACACCTTGTCCCTGATTTCTGTTCCGATTCATTATGTCCTCGGGTGGTCCATGGTTAAAGTATGTAACATAGACGCTGATGATCATACAACAGAAGATGAAGAGGAGAGCGGCAGGGACACGCTTGGTGTACATGACGGCAGGGTTACAGATCCGTTTGATACCCATGGCGGAGACGAACACTATATATGCTAAACTTGACAGCTCGACTATAATACTAAATGATGTGACCTTGATCAGAATGTGACGTCACATATGATATCTCGTGCACTACATCATGGATAGTGAGTGAAGATAACATCTTCTATATGATTTAGCTCCCTAGCTTTCTTTATAGTTGCTTAACTTTGATGCAAATCAAATATCACCTATGACATGTTTGTCAGGAAGTTTTTTACCACATACATTTTAACACTCAAATTTAACCCAAAGATGTATTGTCTATTTGTTTCATGATTTTCGACATTTGTTTAATATTGTAGTAAAGTTATTTCTTTTGTGATTTAAGTTGCTACAACTTGCTGTACGTGTTCAACTGACAGTGATACAGAATCTATCGATAAACTTTATCAATGCTTTATTATCAGATACATCATGGCATTCCTTTCACAACATCAGTGATTGCATTGAGGGTGTGATCTTTTTAGGACTATCTTTGACGTTTTATAGCTTTTCCCTTTCATATGTCTGTGATCATTTGCTTATAACAACTTTATCAGGCTGTTTTTTGAAAATTCATCAACTTCTAAGTCCAAGGTCACTTTGACTTCTTGTAATATTCGCCATAACCAAACAGCAGGTCACCAGACTCCATGTCTACATGGAGAGGTCAAGGTTACATATATTATGCCCATTTGACCTTTTTTGTTGAGAAAATTTGTAGTAAAATACCCACAATTCAGCAATGAAACTTTGTTACCAAAGGTCACCAGATCCAAAGTTTGGATCCTAAAGATCAGATCAACTTTCGTTTCTATCAGCTGATATATATACATATGATCAATGAAGTAATAGCAACAGTACGGGCAAGCGAATTGTCAAATTTTTCAAGGCAACCTGCCCCTTTATCGAGACACACATATTACATAAATTACATCACATACATAGAACATAAAACATATACAAAGTTAAAAATCTAAATCGAGAGCGGTGGTGTCAATTTAGGTATCTCGATAATCCCTCGGCTGATGGACGCCTAAGACTCTTTATAACGGACAAAAAGCCATCCCAAGTAGTTGTATGTAAGATAGCGATTAAAATATCAACTGGTTTTTTACATTTATCTAGATATGTTTTGCACTCTAGGCGCTGAATATATATGTGTTCGCAACGTGAACGATTGCACGTCACACTCCGAGAAAAGTAGTCTACAGGTACATCTCGGCCAAATTATATACATATCGGCCTTGATAATTGCATAATTTCCATCTCGTCAACTACCTTTAACCTTAGGAAATTTTCTTAATTGTTGTTACCTGTAGCTTTTGGTCTACTTTATTGTTTATCTATCACTACGGATACAGACAAAAATAGCCGTTGACAAACGGTGTGCTGGGATTGTAACGAGTTACAATGTCGTGCTAGTATTTAGTAATATTAATGATCTTTATTTGATGAGAACGATTCTTTAGAAAGTGGCATCCGTTATAACTGGTTATGAGTTCATCATTTATAATCGGCTGACATCATCATCTCTTGAGGAATCCCATACTGGGTACATCAAGCTGAACTATGCTACCATGATATAACATAACACCAAGTAAGTCATCACAAAATGATCATAATGATTGTAAATCTTTTATTAACAATTCATGACAAACGTTAGCGAAATGTGTACAGTTAAAATCGATAGGTTCATAAGTAAGTGTAAACTAAGTTAATGATAACAGGTATCTGTATGTACATAACCTGTTGATCAGAGCCGTATTATCGGCACTGTTGGCCACTCCGTGTAACCGGAAGTACCATCCTTTATAACCAATGTGAACTGGTCATCCTTAATATGGCTTCTATAACATTGACTTATATGGTAAAACAATGAGTGTATAACCAAAAGGACGGGGGCATTTTTCCTGTAAATTCTAAATAGGAAAAACCAAATGATAAACAATCATTTATTATATCGCCCATTGTTGACGAGTTATTTCTATACTTGTTATCGTATTAATTTATACTACATGTACTGAACGTCCTATTTAAAGTGATGGTACTTCAGGAAACGCCTTCCTATGTATGCGAGGTATGTGCACTTGAGTATGTGTGTATGATCATGTAAACCTCCTTGTAATTGTGAGGGCCTGATGCTGACTTTGTGATGCTACCACACTGAAATATATATACTTTGATATATCTTGGCCATGGGACGGACGAAAGCTCCCTTCACAGGTACGGATACAGGACGTACATAGACAACTGTTTTCCATTCCATTTCAGTGTGTAAACAAAATTATTTGAAATTCTTTGTACTTAGTGAAGTTAAAAAAACAGTCTATACAATAAAAAGACCTTAGCACGGTTGCTGACGCCTTAAAACAAAAAACACGTTTTTTAAAGCTCTAGTCAAGCTGAGGAAATGTATGTAGTGTGTGTGTGTTTAATTGGTATGCAAATCTAACATTTAGCCTCCTTTTCTATCCGTAACAGATACTGAGATGCAGTGTGAACACGTACAAAAACAATCAAAAACAAAAATAAAAAGCAAGAAGTCGGATGTTGCACAAACTTGCCTCGCCGGCATTGGACAAGAGAACGACTCATTATCTAAAACCTGTCTGTTAATGAACAGTTCTTGTTTGCTTAATAAAATTGGGACCAGAAAAAATCTAAATATATATATATAAATAACATAAGGCGACTATATTGGCAAACCAATCTCAGGAAATATATGTTAATGATGTAAAGCAGTATTGTTATATTGTCGGGAGATGTTTACACACAGAAATTAAGACGAAACCCCGACTCCCAACATATTATACAGATATGATAATTATCGCGATAGATCATCTAGATTTGTCCTTTTGGCTTTTTGTACTGTCTTGGTGCCTTTTGTAGCTGTTCATTACCGTGGTGGTAAACAAACGGATCAATTCAAAATTATAATATACTTGTATTATGGTGTAAGAGAAAAGATCTACGAAAATCAACTCGTAAAGAAAATTAATAATTACACGCCCACACCAAGCAGCAAAATATTTTAGAATTATATACATGTATTTGTATAATGTACGTACAAAAAAAACTATTTTATCGTCCGTAGGACTTGGCTCCGATATTATTTCTGCAGTTTGATCGAAGTTCATGACGTAATTAGTCTAAAACATTACCCCTACGTTTGTGTTAATTCGATAAATCAAACATTGTGATGACATTTAAGTAAATGATTCTACGTAAACGGAAGCCGCTCCTTTCACATGAGTCGTAGAACAGCTTTTCATTAGCAATGTGGTAATCGTGTAGGATGGGTGTTAGAATAAGACTCAAGGTTTGGAGGTGACAATGCATTTCATACGAGTACAATAACACAAAAAACAGAGGCATTTTCGAAGAAATAACTGAGACAAATACAGAACTATAGTTCGAGTTTGGAGCATTATTCGTGTCAAAGCCAGATAACAGGACTACTAGTACGAAAATATAGAGAATCATTAACAAATATCAAAAGTGACTTAATGCAAGGTCAACGTGTACATTATTTACATTATATCTGCTTGTACACAGATGTAACTGTTTGATGCAGTTACTAAATATTGTTCAGCATGTTTACCTTATCGCTTTCATAACAGGTATTGTATAGAACCACTAGTTCTTACTAAACCTGTCCTTTGACTTACCGTGCATAATGTTGTCACTAGAGATATTGTATAGAACCACTAGTTCCTAATAAACATATCCTTTGACTTACCGTGCATAATGTTGTCACTAGAGATATTGTATAGAACCACTAGTTCCTAATAACCTTGTCCTTTGATTTACCGTACATAATGTTGTCACTAGAGACAAACATGTCCTTTGACTTACCGTACATAATGTTGTCACTAGAGATATTGTATAGAACCACTAGTTCCTAATAAACATATCCTTTGACTTACCGTACATAATGTTGTCACTAGAGATATTGTATAGAACCACTAGTTCCTAATAAATATATCCTTTGACTTACCGTACATAATGTTGTCTACGTTCTTGATCTGCATTCACGAAATCATGTATTCGCGAATATGTCTAAAGCGATAAATTTGCGAAATAAAGTATTCACGAAATCTATATGATTTACAGTATAAATCTAAGTAACATTACGATGAACCTGGTGTGCATGTCGTCCATCTTGGATATATAACACACAACAATGTTACAGAACGGTGTATGTTTCCTGTGCCTTCTGTACAATTGTAAAATAAAGAGTAGAACTCCAATATTTTCAAGGCCATAGAGTACAACAGATTCCAAGGTTTACCGTTTGATATAGGTGGAATGTGATTGAAACATACATGTTTAAATATAAGTGCGTTTTTGTCCTATATATTACCTACAGTGGTACAATAGCGCCAACGAAATTTCAGTACACTTTAACTTGCACTGCCAACTGCTATCTGACTTCCATAAAGCTATGCAAACAAAAACATTCAAGTGCCATTTTTTGTAATATTTTCTGCGTAGTAATCTGAGCAACAGAAATTAATCCCAGGAAGGAAAACTTTTGTCAACATTTTATAGACATAACAAGTATTTTGTATCGTTTGCCTTGGCAATACGTCTGTCCCTCGTAGACATGAAGACCTTTTTATTTTAATTCTGTAGTAAGACAGTAATGGCCCACTTATATAAATTGGTGTATGATCGAGAAAACAACGCTTAGTCGTGTTTTGAAGATCAAACCTGACTGAGCCATGTCACCTCATAGCAATAACGTCAGTGACAAATACGATCACAATTTCGTCATTTTTCAGGCATAATTTCGGCTTTCATATAAATGTTTCAGCTTTTTTAACACTTGAAATGTGATAATTATTGCTATACATGGTACAAAATGGTAGAAATCTATTTGCTCGTTGTTTTTATGTGATCCTCTTTGCGATCCTCAATAGAATTCTTGAGAAAATTGCTATTTTTCACTACGTCATCCCTCTTGCACTTATATATCACATTAGAAATAAAGCAATTAGACCAAACAGCACTATGAATATGACAATAAATCGGAAACATAATTTCGTCAACCTTCGTATGTTTGAACACATTGACATTCAATCAATGTGTACGAAGACAGAATGCTGCTATCAAAGTAATTAGATAAATATTTTAGTGCATATATTAATTTTTGTAATAAAGATATTATCTACACAAGTAAACATTATATGGATAGACCTGTAATGACGAATATGTACATAGGATTAGTTACAGTTTCACTACGATTTGTATAGCTAGTACTGAAGTGTATATTTGTAAATATAAGTATTTTGGTACATGTGTGTTAACTTAATCCGTACAGGTTAGGGGTATTGGCATATTACGACCGGTTACCATCGCGATCTAATGTCTTAGTTGTATTTATCAAATATTAACCAGAATTCGCCAATAATTACCAATAATCGCCAATAGATTCATTTTGATTCTGTTGCGGTAGCGATGTGTATCGCGGAATAATTTCTATCATGCTGTTTGAGAGACGTGTGTATATTGTACATATATATAATGTCTGTTTTGTTGTATTATTAAATGTTCTGAGATCCACGTTGTCTTTTTCTACCATGACATGCGTTGGAGCCTCAGGAAAGATTTTGTGATCTGAACCGGTATTGTGTCACAGTCGAAGGATAGTGCACTGATTAATTCTGTTGAAGCCTGTGTCATGTTTTCTTATCACTGTGATACCTTTCTTTACGAGAAGATTCATCAATAACCCCGTTTCTACTCTTAGTGATGTTCTTACTATGGATGTTTTCCAATTATTGCAAACGACAAAATGTAACACTAAAACCATACCTAGTCTGAAGTTCATACGGATATTCATGACTGATTTTCACTTTGTTTCTGCTATTTTTAACTCTATGTCTTCCCATTTTCACGTTGTCTTCACATTTTCAAACTGTGTCTTTCCATATTCCCTCTATCTCTGTATCTACCAATTTTCACTGTGTTTCCATACAATTTAACGATGTATATATTTACCCTCTTAGACGATAATTTTTGTTGATATCAATTCTGTAAGCTGTATAAATGATATGGTATGGACATATCAAAAGTAATATCACTGGATGTGTTAAATCTTAAAAAAGAAAATAAAAAACAAAAACTGATATCGTTTTTAAATTTGTATTTGTAAAATCTGTATAAATGTGTTGTCACAGACGTAACAACTGCATAAAAATACACTGAACAATAATACATTATACAGGACAACATATTAAACACGTAAATAAATCAAAATTGTTTGGATAGATCTAACCCGTGTCAGATAAAGTTACGCAAAAACAAATATATTGCTACAATATCCTCATATATTTACATACTTTATGCACAAACATATACCTCTCGAAATTGCCAAAAACCTTATCTAAAAATTTCTTTGATGTAACATTATATCGCTAACCGTTACAATATTAGTTCTGATATCACATATACACTTTGGTAAAGTATCGAAAAGTGATCAAAGATCAGTGTGCATACATCACAATGTAAATTTTGCTTCTATAATAAAAGTGATGACTGTAATTTTTTTGAACAGTCTGGAAGATATAAACAATATCATAATCATGCCAAGTATTTGATGATTTTAAGTATCGACCATTATATTGAAGCTTTAAAAAGGAAAGTTTACGATTTCATTCTTTGGTCCATTTAATTCCATAATTAAACTATATATATGTTTAGGTTAATTGCAAGCACATCAATAAAGCACACACGCAATGTAAACAACGCTAAGCATATTCTAGAGTATAGTATGCTATAAATATAATATTGATTGTTTTTCAGAAAGAAGATGCATTTCAAAGTACTGACATCCTTTAATTCTCCAGTACATAAACTTCAGTTACCAGGGGAGACAACTACAAAATGTAAGTGCACTTTTTCATTCGTATTGACAACACTGTCAGAATGTAGGTTTGTAATGAAATTTAGAAGCCGTATTGGTAAATAAAATGACTATAGCATGCAGCACTGTTTCGTCAATACGACTATCAATTCAAATACAAAGAATAATGATTTATATGTCAAAAATGTTTATCCCGTTATCGTTTATATCAATATGATATTTTTCTCCCACATGGCTCTCCTAGTCCAAGCTGCCTTATGTAGATGAAGAGGATGATGATAATTTTCATACATCTGACGTTATCAGTTGGAAGGGACGCACAAATAACTGCTCTAAATTAGATACCTAGGTATTACGTAAAATAAAAATTGTATAAACAATTTATACCATCTTGAATAATACATATACCACAGCTTATATGATCACAACATCAAATACTATACACAACATTTTTAATGAAAACAACTAATCATTCCAAAGAAAAATATATTCAGCTGTAGATTTTAATATGAGCCCTAATTCACAACCAAAAGGTCAGGTCACATTATAAAGTAATGTTGATAGTATTTTACAATATTTATAATCTTTGGCTTAGAAGTTGTCATTTACGTTGATATATTTTATCATAGACGACTTATTCAATATCAATTCTCTTAAGCAATCATAGACTACAGTGTTTCAAACACTGCATCGCTATTTTTGCCATGCCTTTATATCAACTTTAGGTGTTGGTCTGTAATAGAATTGGTCAAATAACGGATAATCACAACCACTTTTCATGTGTATCTTAATAAAAGTTCCAGAAAGTAGATATACCAAATAATGGTACGAACAAAATGAAATAAATCAATTGTTCAGCACCTGCGTGTTATGATATTCAGTTTTTATTCTCATTTTGTAGTTTCCTCTAGTATAACGTATCTCGCTCGACAATATTATTGAATAAAAATATTTTAATGAATAACACTATCATTCACTTGTATAGTGTATAATAGATACGTATTGGAGACGAAGGTGAATTTGCTAATTCCATCTATCAGAGGAAAATTAATTGAAATGATTGCAATAAACACAATGCATAAGGTATCGATTTCTACACAGATCCGTCAACCATCTCCTGACCAACATCGATCTTACAATATTCATTTCCTTTTCCTTTCGACACTCGAAGAATGGCACCATTTTTTGTTTCATCTGTAACTAGTTCCATGAAACTTTCCGCCACCGTCTCTGTCCTAAGGAAACAAAGGTCAATTGACAGAAGACATTAGTGATTCATGAACACAAGTTGCTTTTATGTTATTATTTTAAAAAAAGTAACTCAGATGTTTTAATTACTCTGTTAGAACCAGTGTAAAATTATCAGCATTTAAACCACGGAACGGAAAACATTATACTCTTTATGACACATGCGCGTAATCTATTTATTGCAGTTATTGTTATCGCAGAAATGAATCTGTACATGAGCAAAACGGAGCTGTTTTAAGACGTCTCTAATACATATACATCTAAGAAAGAACAAAACTAAAGGTTGTCCGATGTATATACATGTAAACAATTATAAGCAACTTGTTAAAATAATATAAGATTTTAGGAAGACGTTTGGATTATGATTATGTTGACATTTTTTTTTTTTTCTTTATAAATGGTTCATAGTTTGAGGAAGATTGTCGAGAAGTGTAAAGCTCTTCATAATGATCTCGTTTGAGTATATTCTTTTTTATGAGTTCTCCTATGCACTTGCATCTCAAATTGTTGAAAAAGTTAACGCTAACATTGATTTGTTTTCTCTTTTTTTTCTCTCGTTTTTACTATCAATCCATTTTATATTTTAACCAATAACGCAATGTAAAGCGAGCGTATTTCCAAATGTGTATTATACAAATTTCTCAAAGAATGTACACACAGCAACAATGACAACAAAATACTTACGTCATAATACCATGTGCGTTCAGGAATCTAGTGACTTTCTCATTTACTTCTGATTTCGTCTGAGCGTCGTCATGAAGTGAAAATGGAGCTATTTGCTTCACAAGGTTTGTGTCAGCAAAAGACGGACACAGTGTGTTCACACGTATACCACATTTCCGCACCTCCTCATTCACCTATACCAAATCAAGCACAGTAATATATATATATAGATCTGTTTCAACACGATAGAGTTTTTTCATCACTTCCATTAAAGCATCAATATACGTGAATAATAAGAACCCCAAAGGACTTATATCGCTCACATGACTTTGTTTGGCTGCAATTTTTTCTCTCAAACGAAAGGAAAGTAATTCTGAAGGTATACATCCATTTTCTCTTTGGACCCACCACTCTGGCTCCAAGAAAATTATTAACATAAAACAACTCCTGCACCAAATCATGCTTCAGACCAAAACGGGTCAACATTCCTACAGAAGAAGGATTTTAAAGAAATTGCTGTATTTTCCCTGCCCCGTCGTTTATACGGACCAACTTGGGACGAATTCCTGATGTTCCTACAGAATTATCTCAAATAATTTTCTCTGTTTTCTCCTTCTGAGTTCCGCCCCTCTCGCAAAGAGGGGCAAGATCCGCCGTTTATATCAAACTGATTTCCCTTACACTAGGATGGTTCACACAAAAGTGGGAAAGAATACTGATATTTCTAAAATGGATGAAGGATTTTATAAATTGTGATCTATTATCCTCATTGGGCCCCATTCCCGACCCAAGCGGGGGAGACCAATCGTTGATTAGAAATTGAGTCCCCGTTCCTTAATAATGTCTTATACGAAATTTTGACAAAATTCAACCATTTTTACAGAAAAGGGCTTTCAAAGAATTTGCTACCTTTCAGTTTTCTGGTCCCATCCTTCAGGCCCTAAGGGGCAAGTCCCACCATTTTAACAAAATTGAGTCCACTTCCTCAAACGATGCTTCTGACCAAATTTGATCAGATAGTCATGGCTACTAGTGATTTGTAGGAAAATTTGATAGACGGATGACGAGACGCTTGGAGTCACGACATGGCGAGAGTTTAATTGACCTTTCGGGTTTGGTGAGCTATGAGATAATGGATAAATTTCCATTATCCAGAAACATTCTTCCACGTGAATGTAATAATAAATCGTAGGTATACATTCCGATACATAATTGTTAACTCTCAGGTAAAGCAGTATCAATTAGTTTATGAAGAATCCACTTAAACCATTTGTAGGGTATATCACATAGAATTACCCTGTCTTGTGTAATAATAACAATCTTGCATTTGTTAACGCAGGAAAAATATCGTCAGGTTTCTAAAGGTTGCTTATTTTTGTACATCTATTTGACCATATGCATTTTCTCAGTGACTTTCAGCTTATTGCGACTTGATGGATATGAAAACGAAATGAGTTTATTTGAAGACTCGAAAACACTGATATTTAATACCTGAGAAAAGATTAAACAACTCTGTTTTTTATTTCATTATCAAAAAAGTAAAAATGGTAATTTTGTTTCCTTGTTACAGTTGACATTTTGTTTCATCTATTGCACCTTATGTGAACAGCTAATGTTTGTTTCTGGACCAAGGAGTTGTTTTAGATCTATTTGATCACAGTGATTTTGTCCTTGACTTATTTTAGATTCAAGCTTTTCACCAAACATTACCACCGAATATACTGTTTAGAAAATTATCTCACTTACCGCTAGACATCTGGTGAGTGCTATGATGGCTGATTTAGTAGCAGTGTAAACAGGTGACATCGGGTTGACTGACAAACCTGTCAATACACAAAACACGTTTTAACCTCATAAAGATCTTGAACATAGAAGGTTGTGCTAGAACACTGTTTGAATCAGATGAAGGAGACATGGGACATAGGTAAAGTGATCACGTTTTATGACGCAAGTTATAAATGTTTGTTACGACAAAACGAATTAAGTTTTCATCAACGCAAACTTTTTCAGCAAAACGTTTTGTAGTCGAAATTTACAGTCGTGTCTTATTTCAATATATGCATGGTGATAAAGTGAATGTGTCCATAGAGTTTTAAACAGGTCAAGATACAAAACTCCAATTTCACCAAAATAAAAAAACTAAAATACAAAATAGCTTATAATTGACAAATTTAAGCAAATTCTTCATTTTTTTAAATGAATTTTTATTATATCCTGTCAAGTTAAATACAGCCTCTCTATTATCTTTGACAAATGTCAGCGTCCTAACAACAATCCGTTTGTCAAAACTGACCTCAATTCAGAAACTTAATACCCTCTTTTATATACTATTGAATGTCAGAGATAACAGTTATGGATCAAGTTATTTACCTATTTAAATTATTGTGTCCCCGTTTCGATTCCTTTTTACTTCATTATAGCGATGTGTTTTGATGAATTTATTTTTTGTGTATTTTTCATTTTCAATAGAAAGGTTTCATTGTTCTGTTTGATGCTTGACGCGAAGATCATATCATATTTCAGGGGTGAAGCCGTTTTTTGTTTCCTATCATATTAGGTTTTCACTTTCTTTTAAAATATTCCAGTATTTCTTTTCTCTTCATATTTGAACAAGAAGTAAATTGAGAAATTATTTTAAGTATTCTAATGATTCAAGTTAAAGGCATATCATATCGAATGTACTCGTTGCCAAACACTCATTAAGCAAGCTTTTATCAATTGCCTATGAGTTTCGATGTTTTAAACCTTGTTCTCATTTGACAACTTAATAATAAATAATAATAATAATATACAACATTTATATAGCGCACTATCTATTTTGAAAAAAATACTTTAATGCGCTTCACAATTACATAATAATCTTACTACAAAATTTATAGAACATGTATAACACAGTAATCAACATATGTAACACATTAACCAAATCAAGTAAGTAGTGGTGATAGTATGTATATACAGGACGTCTGCGTGAGAGTCTAAAATGCAGACATAAACAGGTGGGTTTTAATATCCCGCTTGAATTTGGCCAGGGATTTTGACCTTCTGGTAGCAGATGGTAAGCTGTTCCACAAAGTGGCCGCTACCTTTCCAAAGCACCGGTTACCATAAGTCACAGTCAGAGAGTTTGGAACGCACAACAATGATTCTGTCTCCGATCGTAGTGATCGTGACGGCTGATAAACGGTGACAAGTTCCTGCAAATATTCAGGAGCTGTTCCATTTATTGCCTTGTATGTATACATCAAAATCTTGTATTGTGACCGGAATCACACGGGCAGCCAATGCAATAAGTAAAGGACTGGTGTAATGTGGTCCCTCTTTCGAGTACGGGTAACTAGGCGTGCTGCGGTGTTCTGTACCCTCTGCAGGCGGCTCATTAGTTCATCAGATACACCAACGAGTAACGCGTTACCATAGTCTAACCTAGAAGTAACAAGAGAATGTACCAATGTTTTGCATGCATCTGTGGTGATGAACTGACGGATACACCCAATGTTTCTAATTTGGTGATAACAGGAACTGGCAATTGAGTTTATCTGTTTCTCCATGTTCAGAGAGATATCAAAGTGTACGCCAAGGTTTCTCACAGCTTGGACGGCCTCAATAGTTTGGGCACCGACCTTTAACTGGAGACCTTTAGTGTGTTGACACTTGTGGGAAAAGACGATCAGTTCTGTCGTTTCCTGATTGAGCTTGAGCATATTTGAGTTCATCCAAGCACTGATGTCATTAAGACAGGCTTCAAGACTTGCTACTATTATGTCCCAGTTGTCTTGAGGTCTGATAACCATGTAGATTTGTGTGTCGTCGGCATAACAATGGTACTGAAGGTTATGATGACGACAAATCTCCCCGATTGGTTTCGAATAAAGACAGTATTTTCTAGGTCCCAGAACGGACCCCTGAGGAACTCCGAAGTCTAAGGTTTTGCTGTCTGAAACAGTTGATCCAATGGCAACGCACTGTCGTCGTTCATTCAAGTAAGACTGGGTCCAGCGTAATGCATCACCAGTCACCCCATAAGAGTACTCCAGACGCTTGAACAGTGTACCATGGTCAATAACATCAAATGCAGCAGACAGATCAAGCATGATAAGAACCGCTCTACACTTGTTATCCAGAGAGGCAGCAATATCACTGTAGACACAAAGTAGGGCCGTCTCAGTGGAATGTCCTGTGCGATAGGCTGATTGCAAGTTGTCATGAAGACTGTTAGCATGAAGATGATCCTCAAGTCGCTGGGACACAATCTTCTCCAAGATCTTAGATAAGAAAGGGAGATTTGACACCGGACGGTAGTTCTTTAATTCTTCCTTGTTCAGTCCAGGCTTCTTCAGCAGTGGTCTTACATTAGCCTTCTTGAAACACAATGGAACCCTAGACTCTGCTAATGATTTGTTCATGATTAAGGTGATCAAGGGGAGCAGTACATCAAGACATTGCTTCAGTAAAACTATGGAAAGCGGGTCCAGCTCACAAGATTTCGATTGAGAGTTTGTAATGATCTTGCGCAATTCTTCTTCGGTTGTTGGAGTGAACTGCGTCAAAGGTTCACCTGATATTTGGATATCGGCATCCATGGCAGAGATGCCAGTGTCGGAAGTTGAGTTCACAGCATCAATCTTTTGCCTGATTGTGTTGATTTTATCCTGGAAAAAATCACTAAACTTGTTGGACAAGATTTTTTCAGATGAACAGCTTGGTAGGGCGATTTCACCAGTATGTCCCATTAGGTTTCTGATGAGTCTAAAAAGCTGTCTTGTATCCGATCCACATTCTATGATTTTACCTGAATAATAATCCTTCTTACGTTGAATGAGTAGTGAACTGACTGCCCAACAATGTTCTCTGTATATCTGGCGATGGATGGTTAGTTTGGTCTTTCGCCAACGTTTCTCCGTCTTCCTCCGCAATTGTTTTGCATCACGAAGTTGTTCGTTGTACCAAGTCGCGTTAGGTCTGACAGTAATTACCTTTGTCTGAAGAGGTGCGTGTTTCTCGATCAGAGCCTCGATACCAGAGTTATATGCTTCAACAAGACAGTCACCTCCACCCTCAGTAGTCTGAAGGACTGAAGATGACTGAATGTCTTTGATGAAATCAGGTACAGAAATTTCGCGGGATTTCCGGAAGCTGACCTCTTTTCTGGCACGTTTTGGTTTACCACAATTTAGTATGGCATAGACAGCAAGATGATCACCAGATAGGTTTCCCTTAGTGTCGCTCAGACATGGATCTGCCACTAGAATTGCTCCGTGGATTAGAGAAGTATTTCCCCTAGTGATAATCACATCTAGTGTATGACCATGTGAATGGGTAGCTTCTGTCACATGTTGTATCATCCCCCGGGAGTCAAGGATTCCGGCGAACTGTCAGGAATCAACATTAGTGTTATCATCCAAGTGGAAATTCAGGTTGCCAGCGATAATCAGCACCCGAGGCGCTACAACCTGTTGATCGAGATATGAAGACCATTCATCAAAGAAGAGTTTGTTACGGAGACCGTTCCGTTTAGAAGTGGGAGGCCTGTATATGACGCACAGTCTGAATTGTGTATCATAAATGGTGACGGAACACGTCATGTGCTCAAAGTGTGTAAAGGAATCCTCGTTGTTGGAATTGAGATTTCTCACACTCAATCCTTTCTTTCCTGGACGAAATGTCGTTTCCGATGTAATATAGTTGAATGACAAATCGTCAATTAAAGAATAAATAGAGTTCTTCAATTATTACTTTTTTATATGAGATTATGCAATCAAAGAATGTTACTAAAATGTCAAATGGTCTAAGTAAATGTGTCGTACCGTTTTAATTAGAAATTTACGTATGACTCGTCGAGTGCGATAAGACGAGAATGAGTCGTAGTACGTTTACAACGAAAGGGGTGTTGTCCTGACTATCGTAATTAAAATTAAAATATGTGAAATTGAATAAACTATGTTACAAAAGCTGATATCACCAATCTGTATAAAATAAAGTAGACTTCACAGAGCAAGACAATGTGGAAACACACACACGACCTATCGGAAGCCTATGAAACAAGATGGCGACCTATCCAAGCTATGCGGTATAGCGATGAAGACATTGCAAATATCACCACATAGTTATGTAATACAATAACAAATGTCCGTATCAACTTATAAGTTAACAGAACATATTATTAGAACTAAACAGAGAAAATAAATTCAGTCAAGATGTAATATTACGTGGGTTGACCAGGTTTTACACGACGGTGTCATTGATGATAACTCTTACGGAACACCTGGTCTTATTCTCCTTGTACCTTTTCAAGAGTCTCCGTTTAAGTCTTTTGTTCATATCGTTTTATTGCATTCGAGTTTGGATTATGATTATGTTCTTTGTAGGTACTTTCCAGATTGTTATTTAGATAACTCCTGAAGCTGTCATAGACTAATAACATATGTTACTATAATTATAGGTATAGATTTGTTTTGAGATCATATCGTTCTCGGTGACAGACAAATCGATGATACTGGAGGCTATGTAGGTTGGTTGGTGTATTGAATTTCACATTGAATCCTCTTACGCGTTTGTCACGGACATATGCCTAATAAGACTGACACTATTTAAACATGATCTGTGTTCTCAAGTCGGTCATGACGTGAGTACGATGCGGTTAACATCATAATCACATTCGAGGTTATCGTCTTTTGTGGTTACTTGACATCCATTTCCACCCCTAATCAGTATAAATTATACATTGTCATGTTCATGAAAGGATCAACTTCCTAGCATGGGTACATTAATATCTCGAAACTACTTTTGAATGCACTCGTTTCATATAAATGTATTCAAACACTTTAAAATCCTATCATTACTAAAAGTAGATCATCAAAACTGCACAATTCCTGTGATGCGCTGTTTTGTTTTACTATGGAGCGTGTCTAGATGCCTGAAGCGAAACCCTTTATTAAAAAAGTAGGACTATTTCATTCTCTCGATACAAGTACGAAAACAAATCTGACTTAGATATAAGCAATATATACAATGCGTTCTTTTCGGAAACAACATCTTAAATGGCGTATACCCTACATATTACTAACCAGTGCGTCAGTGATTAATTAGTTTGAAACATTTCATTTTGTTTGGACAGTTTTTACTCTATTAAAATCAGGATACATTTTTGAAATATCAAAATGTATGTTTTAGACCAAAAATATTTCCTAGAATTTTTCGACATGTGTATAAATTTGCACAAAAAATCGCAAGCTAGTAGCAAATACCGAACCTACTCTGCATCCGAATTTTACTTAAAGTATATGCCTATCCCTAAGAATAGTTACGATGAATTAGATACACCCTTTGAACAATGTGGCATTGACATCAACATGATAAACTTAAGTGATATCTGTATATTCTTGCATAATTATCGATATACAGCTATAGATGTATTGGGATATATATTGATAACAGTTGATAACATCAGCGGATGTCGACACTAGTAAACAACCACATTCTTATAAACAATTCGGTCAAGCCATTACAGCGACTACAATAATTCATAAACAAGGCGAACGTGTCATTTACAGAACATATGAAAATGTTGTATACATAAGATGTAAACAGCTTAGCATCTCCTTAGTAAAATGAGTAATTACCTGCACACTGTTAAGTAAGGAGCACTTTACTCTGGTCGAAGAATCCCAAAACATGTGCACGTTCAACATCAACATATCTTAATTATATGGTTGCAAACATGTAGAAGATTGAGAAAACTATTACTACGTTAATTGATTAAGAATGTGGATGAGAAATCCATATAATAATATCAGGATTATATCTATAGGATTATTGACGGGATCATCAAAGGTTTCAATGTACGTATATGTATGTACCTGCAGCCGAGGAGATATTGACGATGACGCCTCCATTTCCTCCTTTGTCTTTCCGAAGGTATTCAACAGCTATAAACGTGCCCCGCGTCATTCCTTTCTGCAATTACAAATTATGACACTTCTATGTTCTGTAACTTCTCAATTTTTATTAAAACTAAATTTAATTCAATTTCTAAATGTGATTTATCTTAATTTTGCGCTGCTATTTACAAATCTAATTTGCCTGTGAAATTTCGTTCATGTTCGAATTATCTTCTATCATTAAGGCTTCATAAGAGAACAATACATGTAATTATGCAGAATGACACATCCACCAGTATCTAATATCCTTTCATAATAATTGAACACTGACAATTAGTAAAATCTCCAATAGATTTTGTATTTTGCCTGCGTATGATTGTCTAAAACACTACGTACTATATTAACGTCGACAACTTTCTCCCATTGTGGGTATGACTCTCCGCCCATACCAGCATTGTTACAGACGATGTCAATTCGTCCGTATCTCTCTTTTGTTGCTTTAAATAACGCTGAAACATAGAAAGTAAATATAAAGCAATACAGCTCAGCAGTTATAATGATCTCACGTAAATAAATTGTCAGCTAAAATACAACGTGTAATTGTTCATTTTAATATATTTGATACATCAATAAAACAACTTCCATAATAACGAAAAAAAAAAAAAAAAAGTAAACAATATAGCATCGGCAAAACAATTGTTAATGCTTAGTGACTCACAACCACGAACACTAAACACTCATGTTTTACGGTGCGGTATCGAATCATAAGTGAAAATGTATGTATTGATAGCAAGTCATCTTATTGATTACCTACAGAGGGATGTGCTGTTTCAAAAAACAATATGTATCTTGATAAGCCCACATAAAAAATGTTACCCAAGCGTTTAATCAAACTATATGTAGTAGTAACCATTTCAAGAGACAGGCATGACAGTTAAGATTCATACATTGTATAGTGTATGTTGTAATATAAATGATTATGTACATATACCTCCATTTAGATGGCAAATAGAGGTCTTCAATATATATGAAATTTTTAATGAAATCGTAATTTTATCATGTGATCATCATAAAAACTGCCTAAGCTTAAATTTATAGCACCAATGTCCAAATCATTTTCACGTATCAATAAGCAAATCTTGTTGGGGTAGACGGTGGAAAGAGATTACTCCATAATGGATGGTGTTTGATAATTTACGCTAAACAAACAACAATGAAAAAACTGACATATCAACAGAATCTTCATATCAAGTTAAAATCTATGAAACAGAGATATATATGAGCAAAAAGAAGGTTTACATGGAGACCGATGACAAAGTACAAGGAAAAGAAGACCAGGTGTTCCGAAAGTGTAAGCTCTGCTGCTACATCGACACTTATTTTGTAGATATTGATCAAGTCGGGGAAATAAAGTTGCATCGAATGATTTAATAACGCAATCATTATGGCAGTCGAACACTTCCTCATAATCTGATCTGCATCACTTGAAAACCAGCGCTGTGAATTAATCTGTCAGCTGTCAGTACCTTTCTTGAAAATCGTGCTATTTGAAATAAGCGAATCGGTTTGGGAGACAGGTGATTATATATCAGAATGAACTATTACTTAAACATCCCGGTACATTTCTTTACCAACGTCATTAACATAAGCCAAATAAACATTTTACTAGTGTTAACAAGTTCTTGGATTGTAAACTCTAAACTTCTTTTCAGTGTTTGTTTACATGTAACTTTTTTCTTCTTGGTTTTGCACTGGGTCAATAATATAGCTACTTGAGGTTCGGTCACAGATACTATTCTGGGGCTGGTAACATAATCCAGAGGGCTACAGACAGTTATCAACCCCTATGATCCTGAACAGTTGCATCGCTGTACAATTAATGTCAAAATACATATGTATCTTTTTTGGCGTTCGGCTTCTGTGTGTAACTGATGCCTTTTATCTTAATTCATAGATTTCCATGAATCTAACCAACATTTAAAACCAGAATTACCAGTACGGGAAATAGTTTGCTATATAGACGTGCATTGTATGGAGACCGCCCACACGCTTATATCAATCTTCAACACGAGTACAACTACACTACCGAAACTGACTCGTTTTACACACCTCTCAAAATATGAAATATAGATGAGTATATATATTATAACATTTTATTAAATGTAATAATATCACTACATGTTCCTTGAGACTACTATTGTCATATGCAATCAGCACATTTTCAAAGTATTAGGTGTTTTTTTCTATAAAACAAGTTAGGTATGGCAAAATTATTCACTTAAAGGATATCTTATTATTTTGTATCCTTAATTATGTTTACATCATCAGAATACATTATCTGTTGTAATGCAACCTAGTTATTTTCACAGTTCTATTGCACATATAGCAGCGTGTAAATAGACAAATAAACAACACAGACGCACCGGCAACAAAGCGCGTTTAATGCACTGCACCATTTCTTGGCAGATCTCTCTGTCCAAATTATTGGTTTTTGTTATATGTAATTACACTTGCACACTAAACGTCTGACCCCAGATAACTTCTTTATCTCAAAGAGCGTCTTACTCAAAACTGCTCTCGAGGTTTCTTTTCAAGTGTAGCCGTAGACGTGATTTTCTTTGTCAATTTTGGATAATGTTATAGGTAATTGGAATCTCGGATGCAGTGTTATTGGTAGTACATGTTAGTTATGACATAGATACAGTGCCACACGGCAACTACACGACAACCACATACACATGAACTCAAACACATCCGTTATTCTTGGTAAAGGGATACTCATCACATGGAAAACAGCGGGTCTGGAAGTTATGTAATATACACAATATCGGCTATTGATTAAATGTGTTTCACAGCTGCTGGTTTTCAATGTGACCTTTGTAATATAGAATATTCTTCAACTAGACGAGGCAAACTCTCAACGAAAGTTGAACTTCCAAAACCTTTTACCAACATAACCGCATTTTTAAATGGATTGCATATGAAATCAAATGAAAACGTCATATCTACCCTTGGAAGTAAAAAAATGTGTAACATACGTAATGAGATTATAATTGTTGGGTTAATCACTTAAATTATTGTGTTGTTGTGTCACACACATACGATGATGAATAATTAGAAGAATTTGCAGCAGAATCATGTTTCTAAAGATTACGTAAGATTTGTGTATTTGTACCCCGAAATAATTAAGCCTTCAACATAAAGTGCGTTCCACTTGCAAAAGCTATTTAATAAAATGTCGAATCTCACATAAATCAAAAGATATCTTTCAAAATGGAGAAGGTTTTCTCTTTCAAGTATTCAGTTTTAATGAACTTATCAACAAGTAATCTCTTTCAAGAAATTTGAAAATTGCAAAGACGGACTGACGAAGTATCCGTTGACGTTTAAATGCGCGAGGGGAGATGTATAGGTACATGTAATTGATGGTGCTATCAACCTAGCTGGTCCATCCAATATTGATGCTGAAACACGAGGCGATCCATTTTACGGGGAAGTGAACTGGACAAAACAAATGTGACATATATACCAAGTTTGATATATACTGTGAGATAATGTATTTTCGAGAGGATCAAATTTCGTTGTTTTTCGAAAAAATGTTAATATGTGAACGCTTGACTTCGTGGTAAATTAAGTTCAATTAATCACCCACAAAAACAACAAATTTATTATTCTACCCAACTTATATACCTCCATAGAATTTCTATATATTCTGTTTTCAAATTCACTTTCAACATAATTTTTAAGATGTAGATGAATTAAGATATTTTTCTATACAAAAATTGTCGATGCATGCATTATTTTTCTTTTACTAATTCCAGAATCATTTTGTTCCGAGTGTTCATTGTAAACCCGATGTTTCAAACTTTTGTTGATCCAGGCGCCAAAGAATTATATCTTCTCTTTGAAATGCAACAATGCTAAACTAAAATGTATTCAAATTATCCCTTCATTACTGATAAAGGGCTCAGAGGTGATAAAAAAAATCTTAAATTTCTATCCGTTCAATTAGAAAAAGCCTTTGAACTGGAAAAAACGTCTGTAATCAGTATGAAATATCTTATATTTATCACATATAGACCCGTTAGGTAATTGAAAAAGACATAGTTATATGTTTCGTATATTTTCGCAGCAAGCGAAATTTCAGTTTTATTCTCAATATTCGTAGCTTTTTTTCTCGAATGTAAGAAATATCATTCCATTTGTCTGTTTTACCTTCACTCTTTATTTCAGATAATGCAGACACCCAAACTGTGTGTTTATACAAGTTAAATCCGACCGATTCTACAACAAATCTGGCATTGTTCCGGAAGTAAGTAAGAGCACGTCAGAAAAACCCTAAATCAGTGGAGCCATTCAGAAAATAAACAAAGATATTGGAGTACGGACATTGCTTTCGGAAGAAACTTTATCTTTGCATGGGATGAATCTTTTTACTGATCTGGTACATTTGCGAATGATAAAACGCACAAGTCTAGTGGAACATTGATAAGGGACCCTCGTATCTACAGGTAAACACACAAATCGCTGTGCTTTTAGGATAGCACTATTCCGTGTTGATAATATACAAAAGATAATTACATTTTCGGTTCACGTGGGGGGATGTTTGCATGCAAACAAAGATGAACGGAGCGTTTTGATCTCATTCTAATTTGACCGCTAAGCAACGTTTATCATTCAACAGTGCGTATTGTTCTGTACAGTTGTGTCTCTTTGTTAAGTAAAACCACATCACTGGCTGGTAATTACTGAGTTGTACACTAGCAGATACTTTGCTTTGCATGTAACAGAAGGCAAAATCTCAAACAGAAAAGAAATGAAATTGAAATATTCAAATACTGATCTCTAACTACAAGAATTTGAAAAAAGTGACATACGAATAAATTTGCACAAGATTATAATTTAGAAAAAATGCATATAATCCAGGTATAGTTCGTCAACAACATATGTTACGGAAGACTTATCACTTATCACTTGTCAAATCGAGTCGACAAAAGGAGAATCAGACAATGAAACAAAAAGCTTCAGTGACCAAATGTCCCTAAAATAACATACTTAACTATCATGTTTGAATTTTCTAATCGATTAATTAATCATTTAAGAATAGTATTGGACGCTGTTTGCGAGTTGAGTGAATATATTGTATGCCTTTGTTTTCAGGAGGTTGTGATATACTCGTGTAAGCATATTTGTGATAATGCAGAACTCAAGCCAACTTAATAGTGAAATACCACTACCGCTTTTAAAGGCTCTAATATGTCGAAGCCAGGGGACAGAATTCAAAGTCTTCCTCAAGGAGGCAAACTATCCACAAAACGTGAGGGAGTATAAAAGGACACATTATGAAGAAGAAAATTTTTCGGAATAGAGATCAATCATAAATATTCCATGTAGCAATAAGAGACAACAGATACAATTTTCACGTCCTTCCAGTAGTGCAGTCATTAAAACATAACTATCCCGAGTGATACGATTATTTGAACCTTTTAGGTAAATATATCGAGAAACA